GGACGGATAGTTTAAAATGCTCTATGCCGCTTGTCTCTATCTTAAGCCGTTTAGTAATTATTGGCATTTAAAAATATGTCAAATACCTTGTCGCGTTTCTGCTATTCTATTACCAACATTTTATTGATGAAATTGGATCTTTTCGAATTCGGAACTTTGTATCAGGATAATAGAAGCGTGAGGAGATATCGAAAAATTTTATTTTTGCTCATATCGTTTTAAATATGGCTGCTAGAAAAAAACTCAGTATATTTTTGAGATCTACATGTGACCTTCTATCCGTACGCAAATTTAAATTGTTTTTTATTTTTTCAAAAAAATCGAAAGGGTATCTATATATAGCCTTCAAAATTTTTTGGCGAAAAAATTTTTTGTCTCCGATGTTGATGAAAATTGGGGTACATATAAAGGAAAGCAAGAGCAATTAAGGGATGAACTCAGTTGCTCCCTATCTATAAGGGTTAACTTTTTTTTCTTAATTCCTCAATTAATAATGATCGAATTATTCCATAAATTCACATGAAGGTAGAGCCGGACGGATAGTTTAAAATGCTCTAAAAATATAATAAATATCCTTTATAAATTTAATTTTTACCTATGAATATTCGATGGCCATAAATGGGGAAACCTGATGGCCATAAGTGGAAAAGTGTGGTCATAAGTGGGGAAATGTTAATGTTTATTTTGTAGGTATGATAATAAAACCTTTGCTAATGTATTTAGAATACCTTTAACCACTCACTGTAATTTTGACGAAAACTATTCTTTAAATGTTTGTTATGTAGGAGGGATTTTCTCTTAGAATTTTCTTAATGTGGCCATGACCGATGCCAGTACCCTATAATAATTTAATGGAAGCATTAGAGTTCAATATTGGTTGAAATATAATTTCAGAATATAAACTATAAAATAAAAAGTATATTTTGAAAAATCTGACCAGTCGATTTTTTGATTGTGAACTTACAAGTATCTAAAATAGTTTGAATATATCATATTTCTATTTGAAATATAATTCCAGAACTGCTGAATAAAAAATTAGAGGTTTTTTAAAGTTTCTTAAAATATTCTTAGAATATATAGGTATAAAAATGTTTTTATTTCAATTAAATAGTATAAAATAAACTATTCAAACAAAAGATTAACTTCTTTAGTCATAAATAGTACCAGCATAATTTAAAATTTATTTTTTCCATACTGATAAGAGTTGCCTTCAATTTTAATTAACCTACATGAACAATTTTAATCGCTGGATGTAAACATTAATATCAGTCCTATATCCAAATAAATAATATGAAACTAACATGGGTGTTCTTCATAATATCATTTTCAGTATTTTTAAAAACCAGTGAAACGAAAAAAGATTATATTGAAGGTAAGCATTGTCATAAACATAATATAATAGTTATTTATGTATCAATGGCCTTAATTACTGATGACAAAGTTTATTAAGGCAAAGGTTATTAAGGCCCATTAATTCCCGTGGTACATATATAATTTTATTTCTGACAGATTTCAATAAAATTTTGTTCATTTTTAAAACGGAAAAAATGTATTACCTTCCCGGTATATTTGAATCAGCTACCGTTGATTATAAGAGTTTTATTGTTGCTACAGTCTGTTCGCTATACTTACGCGGGTTTCGGATTAACAAAATTATGCAAATTAGTCATTGACAACCAGTTCCAATAAGCCTCTTCCCACGAAATTAGGTAAAATTGCCCTAATGGTCAGATTTAAATTAAAATAACATTTTACCTTATCATGACCTTTCATCTGTGAAAAATTCAGCTTGTGACAAAAGAGTGGGAGGTAAATCGTTTTCTTGAGCGAATATTTTAATACATACACTTTACTAATATGACAACAGCGGATATTATACCCTACTGTGTCCCTTAGAATAAGTCTTATTCAGGGCCGCACGAGATTTGTTTAGTAGTTACATCTCCTGGTTATCTCTGCTAGAACTCTATCTGATATTCCTGAATGCATTTGGCGGGCATGAAGCTTATTACCTAAATTTAGTTATTATAAAATAGACGGTTGTTTGTCGTTTTACATTATATGGAAAAGAAAAAAATATAAGTTTGTAGATAAATGTTTTTAAGACAATAATATAATGAAGATAATGAGGGTCGTATGTGACCTCCCATTGGCTAGACGCAAGTGTTTTATTTTTTAAGATCCTGGCTTTAGCTTTACATTTGAAAATGTTACTTTCTACTGATCAGGTTAAAATAAATAATATTTAATTTTTAATTTTTAGCATTTGTTATCAAATTGGCGATAGAAACACTTTTAAATCAAATTAAAAAAGCTGGTCAGATAGTTCTAATAAATGATTTCTCATTACATATTCCTACAGAATTAAGCAACACAATGTAAGTAGTGTTTATTTTTTCTTTCATTCTAGGTAAATTGTTTATATTTTTAATGATGGCTCTTGTAAGTACCTAAAACCATTGCATTGTTTTCAATTTTAAATATTTCTTCTATACTTTTTTTACTATTCAGATGTGTCTATTCAGAGATTAAAAAGAATGGAACCTGGATACGATTTTATTGTTATTTTATTGTTATTATGAACAAATACGAACTGACATAAAAGAATGTACAAGTGATTTTTATTGATAATAAAACACGTAACTGAAGATTGAAACCAATTCGAAAAAATCTTCTTGTCTCAGCCTAAGACTTTAGAATTAGGGTTTTCGATCTCTTTCAAATTTTTTTTCATTTCTGTTTCCTTTGATGCCGATATCTCTGCTATAAAGGATTTTCTACTGCTTTTTTTATTACAGAGTTGGTCATATTGGACTGAAAAATCTAACGTTATATGGTTTCTCTACATTGAAGTACACTGATATAGTAAATGTTGATAAAGAAAATGAAGATAATATTATTGTAGACACCTATGATATCAATATTAATGCGACTTTAGATAAAATTGGCTTACATACGATTTACGAACTTGATTTGGGAATAGCAGGATCATTGCCACTATATGGAGATGGAGAAATTCAGTAAGTATGTTCCAAAGACGAAAAACTCCTAGACTAATTTTGTTTACAAAAATCAAACTGCAAACAATCACGGTGCCATTAGGGACGTATATTTCAATTCCTAATGCTTCTTATTATCATTTGAATGTATTTTTCACGTTGCAATTATTATAGCAAACGTAGTAGACGTAAATACTGATTCATTCATAAAACGTATATTCACTCCTCAGATAAATATATAGTGTTTCCAAACTCAATCCAATACAGGCGTTTGTACCTGGATTGCGTAATAATTCGCATTACATGCCATGCGAATGCTACAAATTCTATACCCTCACATTGCAAATAAGCGTGAACCGTCTTGGTATAGCCTAAAATGAGATACGTGGGTAAAATGGGATATAACATTCCAAACACGTCGTTTTGAATTATGTCAAAATATGAACCACTAAATATGAAAATTTTTGCTTTTATAATTTTTGAAATCTTAGGTATCCCATTTTAGGCAACGTTCCCCAATATATCTTTTTATTTATACATTTTTAGATAATACTAATTTAGGAATTAAGTAAATTTTGATGATAGCTTTATTTTAGATCAAATCAAAGTTTATGTGAAATATAAGTTGCTAGTCGCCTGAATAAATAAACATGAATCTCGAATTACGGTTTCTTGTCTGACTGTTCAATCTGCAGGATCAGACGAAACTGCAGAGGATATTCTTGAACTAAAACCGATGATTTTATTTTAGATTTGAGGTAAAAGATGTTGATATAAAAGAAAATATTACTGTTATTGGTCCAAATGGATTTAAAATTCAGGAATTAGAATTACAACTATCTCTTAGAACGTCCAGAGAGGTAACAATTATTTTAATTGGAATTGTATTTAATTCTATTTTCTTCCTTCAGTACATTTTTAAAAATATTTTTTTTTAGTGTTATATTACTGGTTTTTGGAATAATATCAGAGTGAGCCGATTTTTATCTAAAACTCTCAATATCATTGCACAAATGTTTGTCATGTTTTATAGTTACAACAAAAACTGTTTAGATTGTATTATTAGTAGAATTCTACAAGTTTTATTCAATTTATTTTTGACTGGAAAAAAGGATAAATACCGGAGATGTTACTGTTCTGAGGTACGTATAAAATTAAAAGTTGATTTTTTAATAAATCACCCTATTTGCTATTACAATCATTCTTATGATTTTACCAAAAATAATACTTCCATTTATCAACAAGCAATTATGAAATATATACTTGAATGCTCTACTCCTTTCCATTCATCGTACATTTATATTCATTCATCCTACGTCGTCGATAGTTAACCCCTAGTTAGCTTAGTTCAGCGGTGACGCATCCAAGACGTGACCGGAGAAATCACGGCTTAACTGCCGCGAGACCATGAATGCACAGTAGTCTTTTTGGTTATTATAATGTTTAGTCTTTTTTGACAGCTTCCTTCTGCTAATATTTATTAAGTTAACTAGAAAAACATGATATATATTTCTTTTTTAGGACAGCATTTTAATTGAAGAAATACAAAATTTTTGGGAAACATGGCAGTGTTGGACCGTCAAAAGGATGGCTGAAGTTGTAAAAGAAGAATTGGGAGATCCGAAAAGGCTTCGAAGTATAATAAAAATAGCAAAACATCTCTTAGATACGATCCTAAAATATAGATATAATCTACAAAAATTGTTACAGTAAAGACTATATAAAAATATTCCATAATTAATGATTTTTTTAATTACACTAGTGATCAACCATTAATTTAAATATGATAAATTTTTTAACTAAATGTAAAAGTTATTAATATTTAGTGAAAATAAGTAGGACCCATAGTAGAACCAATTTTTTTTTGCGTTATCTTTTAAAAAATAATTATATTTTTGTCTTGTAATGGGACTTTCCAAGATGTTTGGTGATCTCATTATTTTTATTAAATTGATTGTAATCTTATATAGTATCTAAATCCCTGAAGATATCAAATGAACGCAATAGATGTTTTTTGAATACATCTACAAACTGCTAGCTAAGCTATATTTTTATTTATCAAATCTCTCACAGTTGTTTGTTATCCCATTTAAAATGATTCGTAAGTACCTGCTTATATTGTTAATACAATTGATTTTTTTTTTTAATTTTATACTTAATTTTAGCATTACAATTAGAAGCATATATTTGGTTTTTTATAATTAATTTACGAAATGAACCACCCCTGGTCATTCAAAATATGCATTTTGATGTTCCAACAATTTTAAAAGATCCTACAATAGAGTAAGTAAAACTATAACTTGTGAAACAAAGGAATATTAATAAAAACGTATCATGTCCGAAAATAATATTGTTGGATAAAAATTACTCTAAAGAATCTATTTGAAATCTATGAATCCAGTATAGCTAGCTACTAATTTCGGCGAATTTTAAAAAATCATTAACAAGAGATTAAGAGCTTAAATTTGGGGATTATATTAAGAATACTGCTGTTGAGGAATGCATTTATTTTCATTATGATATTTCAAAATTTAAAGCCCTTTGATTTTTGTTCTCGGAAACTGGAAGGAATTAAAACTTTAAAAAATATGCATATTCTAGATATGATTACCTAATTTATTTTGCCCAAATTTAAATTTTCTTAAAAAATTACTTTTTGAGATATCCTTGTCCGAAAATTATAAGGGGGTGCTGTAATCACCTTAATGAAGAAGTTTAATTCTGCTCTCAATTTTACAAAAGATTCTCCATTATTATTTAATTAAAAAGTTGTACATTATTTTTCATTTCATTTAACCAGTTGAAATTCCCCAAAGAACAGGTCAAACTTTCGGGTACTCATAAAATTTTGAATCCGAAACCCGCGTAAGTATAGCGAACAAACTGTACGGAAATTTTGATATTCCAATGTGATTTTAAATTGATTTTCTTTTGAAATAAAAATAATATTAATTCATATTTTTTAGAGGGATCATTGATATAAACAATATACTAATAACAGGGTTGGAAACAATAGATATATCGGATGATATGACGAATCATGTCAAAGTGACGCAAGAAGATCCCAACCTACAAATATTCAAAGTATGCATAACTAATTTAGGAATCCGTGAAATGCATATAAATCTTCAATACTTTGCTGATATTGGGGTAAATAATACTGTGCCAATTTATGGTCAAGGTGATGTTGGGTAAGTACTTATAAAAAATCTCATCTAATTTTTTTAATCGATAATATAATGGTTATTTGTGCATTAAGAGCGGAAAGTGTTGTTATATTGCTGCTTGAGATAAAAAGCGTTCTTTTTCAGTAGTTTTTTCCCTCTCCCCATCTTCCCCTCTCCGTCTCCCCCCTTGACCCCTCTTCCCCGTGCAGCTGTCTTTCTTTTTAATAATATGATTATGGCCAATTGACTTTTAATATAATTCAATAATACTCTGTATTTTAGATTATCAGTGAGAGATTTAAAAATTGAGTTTTGTACCATGACAAATATGGACGAGGGTACAATATACGATATGGATTTATTCAATATGAAATATCGTCATGATGGACCTGTATGTAATATTATAATATTGTTTATCCAGTTTCCTTATTGATTAGAAAATATATCCAAACGTGAATATTATAAACATGTTAGGGATTGTGTTTTATGCTATATTAAAACTTCAATTCACACTAAGAAAATAGGAAATCCAAAAAATGCTTTTTCAAGTTTTCTTTCTTTGCTTTTAGTGTGTGGTAAGCGTGGATTTCTTATTAGTATGGAGAATTGGAGTTTTCATTTTTAGATTTCTAAACCGATATTTTCTTTATCCTTTGTTTAAAAACAATATTTTACAAAATAATATGAACTAAAATGAAAATTTGAGTATCTATAAATAATTTATTTTTTAGATTATTTTAACCGGTTTCTACAAACATCCTGAAGCAAATGATGTAATTTCCAGGATGTTAAATTTAGGACACATTCTGCTTACAATGTGGAATTCTTATGAACCCCTAAAAGCATCCTGTATCTTAACACCTGTCTTCGAATTCATTTTAAACGCCTGGATTTATAATCCAAATTTAGTTTTTACATATAACTCAACATGCTTGGAGGTAAGAACTTTTAAATTTTGCTTATATTTGTTTACTGGTGTTGATTAATATTATAGTGTTTATCGGTATTTTCAAAAATTAATATTACATCGGGAATAAAAGTATTTATTCCAAAACAATTAAAGCTATATTGGATAATTGTGATTTAAGAGAGAAAATTTTACCCTAAGCCCCCCTAATTTACCCACCTAAGAAGATAATCAAAAACTGGGATTTAGTCCATTAAATAGAGCATAAAAAGGTAATGAAATTTTCTTTAAACATTTTAAAAATATTTACAAAAGTTTGTCATCAGGACTTCACTTTTAACACCCTGTATCTCTGAAAAGAAATGTTTTCGGACCTATGTTTATATAAACTTTTACTCCTATTTTTGTATGTAGATAACGCTGTTAAAATATGACCGTCTAATTTTGGGACACCCTGTATATTTTAAAGGTATTTTCTTCCTTAACGAGTTATTAGTAATATATTTAGAAATAAATATGATGGCCTTTTTGACAGCTGACATAATATTTTCAAATAAAGATTTGATAAATTGTAATTTTCGATAAAAATTGTGATTTAATTTTATTTTCAGAAAAATCATAACTTCACAAAATAATTGAATCAGTTATGATAAAGTTCTAACTCCAAACTTTTAAACAAAAAAGAAATCAAATCAATATCTCAATTAATAACGAAAATAATAGGGGGTAGAACTTTTAAGTAGTCCCACCCTGTATTCTCTCTTGGCCAGGCCTAGAAGGCACTAGAAGCTGCCATAATCGCCTGGCAGTTATATAATATTGGTAATTAAATAATTCAAAGAATATTTCCTAGAAGTTTTAATAATCAATTATAATAATTTTAATAATTTTGTTGACACTTTCAAAAATTTAAATCTAGATATTGTAACCAGGATATCCCTATCAGATCGTTATTTTTTTATTCAACTGGTATTATAAATGTATAAATTTTCTTTAACGAGAAAAGGCAAGACTATCAAAAATTATGTACACAAAATTTTTTGCTAGATTCATTTAAAATTAATAAATATATTTATCATTGAAACATAAAAAGCTATTGCAGAAATATTGAGAAATCAGAATTACAATTTTTTTAAAACAGATTCACATTAAAGAACAAAAAAATTATCATTTCTAGCAAGCAATAATAAATAATAGAGAGCAAATTAGCAAAAAATACTAATGAATGCGTTAAATGATAACAAAAATCTACAAAAAAATGTTGTATTAACATTGATTTGACTATTTATAGGTACCTGTAATCAATGACAATCGTTCACCTAATGCAAGTAATTTATGTACCTACCAAATAAATCTAGGTATTTATGAAATATTTTCTTTCAATATCTAAAACTAATATCTAATGAACTTACCACAATATTTTATCATATGCTTAGCACTTATGAATATTAATCACTGTTTTTTTCGAAAATGTTTCTTAAGTAGCATCCGCACTGACAATTAGTAATCACCATCTTTTAATTCTATCAAGAAATGTTTTGATTGGTTGTCGTTTCGGCTATTCGGATATCACAGAAGACTTGATCGCAAAATAGGTATACCATGGGTATACCGCATAGCCCTCAGAAGGTCTAGATACCGCATCGTAAAAATATTTTGACCCCTCATATGATGGGCGCCATGATAAATAAATGTCAATAAATTTTAAGTTGGCACTATTGACAAGACAGAATCGGCGCAAGTTTAGTAATAATCGATTTTATTATCTGTTGTGTTGTTTATTTTGTTTTTCTAGTAAAGGTTTTATTTAAAACATTATTTTTTAGTTTAGTCGTTTAGTGTTTTATTTTAATAAAAAACATTTGTGGTTTGGTGTTAAATTTTTACAGGATTTTCAAATCTCTTTTTGTTTTGTACGTGAATGTAACAATGCATCTAACGGTAGAAGATACAAGGAAGGAATAACATTTCATGTGTAAGTTTTTACAATTATTTATGTATTTACAAAATCAAATAATTTGTATGTTTTGTTGTAGCATACAAAAAAATGTTAGGAAAGAATAACTGATAGCCATAGGAAGACCATTGAATCATTTTGTGACTTTAGTATAAGCCCAGAAAATTTGGGGATACTAGCTGAAACGGCAAATGTGTTATTGGCTCCTTGTTAGTGACCTATTGTACAATTTTTCCAACACAAGTTCCATGATCCTTTGAACTTGGCTGCACCGTACTGATGAAGACCAATAGTCAGAAAAACGTGTCGACCGTTACTTCTTTTTTACTTTTTTTTATTCGGAAAATGTCCACTATTACTACCTTGATACAATAATATTAGTTCCGTTCTAAGTAGGTACATATTATAGTTTGTATGTTCTATGCTTTATTTTATTATATGTAATAAATGATAGGAAATATACTTTTATAGTAAATAAATTGATTAAAGCAATATGTAAGAATAAGTTTATCTAAGGATTAAATTGTTAAAGCAATTTTTCATATCTATTGTTTATTAATTTGTTTCATTTAATTCTTTCTTATTGAGTAAGTTATTTCATATAAATATGCGACACTTGTAAAATGTAATATTTTCTTTTAAATAGGTATATATTATGTTCGTATAAAATATTGTTCAGTTAATAAAAACAGAAACATTTTGTCTTTTATTCAAAAGAAGTTTGTAAATTTTTTAAAATATATTTACCTACCCCAAAAAAAGATTAATAAAACCAGTTAGTCATATACACATTTTCTATATATTTATAGAGGTACTTTTTAAATAACTTTCAATACATTCGAAATCTGTGGTTTTGTTGAACTCAATGTAACAAATCATAATAGGTATTCTCAAAAATATTTAAAAATAAAATCGAGATGGGACTCTTGTATAATTTAGTGACTATTCGCCTATGGTTAGTGCACTACTGTATGTCCCTGGGTTTTCTACATTAGAACAATACTGCTTCTCCACTCTATCAGTATTTTTTGCATCTCAGATTATATTTATTAAAAAACCAAGGAATTGTTTTGGGCCTATTGCTGGGTCCTTTTCCAACATTCCCAAAGTTTTTTTTTTACTTTCTGCTGATTGGATCTCCGATAGTGACAACTCCATTTGTTGTTCCACTAGTTTTTTATCAAATTTTTAAAATAACTTCTATATATTTATCTTTTGCAATGACTTAGCTTACCTGCTTCATAATCTCTTCCCTATGCCCCAATTTCTCTAACAGGTGAGATCTTATACTCGCTCTATTAAATCAAATTATCATTATAGTTTATTTGACTTGCACAGTTTTTATGGCAAAGGTCCATATTTTTATATAATTTTGCTATTATTCATTTTCAAATAAACTATAGGAATAGGAGTAATCTATTAGTTTTTCTAAAATACCTTGTTACCGATGTAAGTATATCTTTCCCTAGTTAAAAAAATTCGAGTTTTTATTTTCATAATATAATATAAATAAATGACCGGTTAACAATCACATTCTTTTAAATAGTACATTTGACATTGAAGTAGGTATTTTCTCCATTTAGCCAAATAGAAACAGATGGTTTACTTGTAATTTGAATTATATTACATAAATCTCACTGAATTTCTCTATAATTCTCATAGCAATATGTACACAAACCACTTATCCAATAATATATAACCATGTAAATATAACATTTCAAGAACGAGAAATTTTATAAAACCGGTCCTGTCTGAACAGATCTAGGAAAATCAAATAGGTTTGTCAAAGTTTTGTTCTTAATTTGAAATTAGAAATTGTGCATCTCACTCACTTATAACTAATAACAAAGTGCAGATTATCGGTGTTCACGTATTACAGAACACACAAACTAAAAATCAGTGTAGCCAAAACATAAATTTACCTAACATGGCGACAAGCTTGAATGGGGTCATTTTTTTTGTATTGACAGTATACGCCAAGCGGTATCTAGACTTTCTGAGGGCTATGGTATACCGAAATTTTAATTCAAATCTAGGTCAAACTTTATACAGGATGTCCACTATTTTTAAAAATATTTTTGTTTTATTTTTAAATTGATACAATAATAATTATACTTGCTTCAATGCTATTTTCTAGGCGTGGTAATTTCGATGGGAATATCGGTTTTTAAAGGTAGAATTGTAGCTGTAGAAAGGTTGGAATTGTAGCTACTAATCATAAATAAATATTGATGTTTTTCAGGGTTTTTGGATTTTATATTTTAAGAGTAGGGGGAACAGGGAATGAAAATTTGTATATGGGTATCGATTTTTTTGAAAGTAGGAACTTGAAGATTGGAGTTGTATAGCTACTTATTATTTATCTATATATATAAAAATGAATCCCTATTTCCCTTGGTCACGGCATCATCACGCATGAACAGCTGGACCGATTTCGATAATTCTTTTTTTGTTGTGTTTTTTATTGTCAGGAGAAGGTTCTTATGGAAGAAAAAATTAAGAAAATTGCGCTGAAAATTAGAAAATTTCTATATATATATATATATATATAAAAATGAATCCCTATTTTTCTGGGTCACGACAACATCACGCGGGAACGGCTGGATCGATTTCGCTAATTCTTTTTTTGTTGTATTTGTTATTGCCCAGAAAAAAAAACAAATAATGTTGTATATCATAAAGCATTAGAATAATAAACACTTTGTTTCTGAAATATTTTTTTAGTTAATTATACCAATTCGAAATCAATATTTATAGTTAAGACAGGACAACGTCTGTCAGGTCCGCTAGTAAGTAAATAAATAAATATGTATTTCAGGGTTTTTGTATTTTCACATTTTAAGGGCGTGAAATGTGGTATAAAAGTTTATTTGGGAGTGTCGTAAAAATTATGTATAAAAATAAATGATTAAACATTAACAAAAATAAATAAAAATGGATAAAAATGACTAAAAATGGATAAAAATGGATAAAAATGGATAAAAATGGATAAAAATGGATAAAAATGGATAAAAATGGATAAAAATGGATAAAAATGGATAAAAATGGATAAAAATGGATAAAAATGGATAAAAATGGATAAAAATGGATAAAAATGGATAAAAATGGATAAAAATGGATAAAAATGGATAAAAATTGATAAAAATGGATAAAAATTGATAAAAATGGATAAAAATGGATAAAAATGGATAAAAATTGATAAAAATGGATAAAAATGGATAAAAATGGATAAAAATGGATAAAAATGGATAAAAATGGATAAAAATGGATAAAAATGGATAAAAATGGATAAAAATGGATAAAAATGGATAAAAATGGACAAAAATTGACAAAAATTGATAAAAATGGATAAAAATGGATAAAAATGGATAAAAATGGATAAAAATGGATAAAAATGGATAAAAATGAATAAAATTGGATAAAAATGGATACAAATGGATAAAAATTAATTAAAACTAATAAAAACACAGGTTTACAAAAAAAAAAGTCCGGATTATTTGACCGGACCATAGTATTCCTAGGTATTTTGGCATCCTGAATCCGATCTTGGGATCAGTTTTGCCCCATTACGTCAGAAAACCCAGATTTCAAGGTAATTTAGAGGTTAAAATGGTGCTTTTTCGGAACCGGCTCCGGGATAATTTCTCAAGCGATCTGTTAGGTTAAGGGCTAACTGTCTAGGTCGTGAATACCTTCCAAACATTGGACAGAGGCCATGAATCAGCCCAGGGACAGCCCAGTGAATAAAATGTTACCATGATGGTTGTAACTCGCGAATTTTGATCTCCCTGTCAAGGTGTTCAATTTCGGCGATTCATTTGCTGTGAGATAATGCCAGTGGATCCAGCACTGACCCAAATGACCCTAGAACCTTGCCAGAACATTGGAGTTATGCTTCGTGTCCCGCTCAGTTCTAGCCCAAGGTGGAGAACTGGCTGAAGGGGTTACTAACTGGCGACTTTCTTTTCCACTGCCAAGCGTCGATTGCGACGATGTATTTGCTGTGAGTTCATGCATTAACCTTAAGGACCCCGAATCTTGCCAAAATGTTTGTCTAAGAAGCGAAAATTTGACGATAAATTTGCTTTGGTCGAACGGCGGTCCACTCAGCACTGATCTAAGAACCTACAGAACCTTGCCAGAACGTCGAATCGATCAGCTGCTTCTTTCGCCAGAGCTGACTCAAGGTGTAAAATTCTCGAACAACGGAAATACGTTCAACGGGCCACTGTCAGGAATCCCGCTTCCGAAATTCCTGGCGACAAGACTCTAAGTCATAGTCGCAAATATTGTATGATAGCCACGACAATTCACTTGGTGGAATGTCACGTCTTATCAGAGGGATTGAAATCCAACGACCTGCCTTAGCAGAATAAAAGTGGAAAACTTTGAAGTTGGGATCCTCGGGCCATTTTCTGCAGCCTTAGTTTGCCCCGGAGAATATACTTCGCTTCACCCAATTTTGGACGATGTTCTAGGAGCATTTTGAGAAGTGCTTGAATTAACTGACGTTAACTCAATAACATTCTACGTGTTGGCAAGAGCAGCAAAATTCACGAGCTCGAATACCTCGAACCATTTGAGCATAACTCCAATGTTCTAGCAATGTTATAGGGCCATTTGGGTCAGTGCTGGATCCACTGGCATTATCTCACAGCAAATGGATCGCCGAAATTGAACACCTTGGCAAAGTGATCGAAATTAGCGAAATACAACGATCATGACATTTTATCCACATGGCTGGTCCTAGTCGAGATTTGGGGACAGTTTCCAATGTTTGGAAGGTATTCAAGACCTACACAGTTGCCCCTAAACTTAACAGATCGCTTGAGAAATTGTCTTGGAGCCAGTTCCAAAAAAATCACCATTTTGACCTCTAAATGACCTGGAAATCTGGTTTTTCTGACGTGATGGGGCAAAACTGACCGCGGGATTGGATTCAGGATGCCAAAATACCTAGGAATACCATGGTCTAGTCAAATAGTCCGGACTTTTTTATCGTAAACCTGTGAAATCAATAAAAATGAAAAACAAAAAGAAAAAAATGAATAAAAATGGAAAATTGAATGATATTGAATAAAAATTTATAAAAATAAATAAAAAAAAACTTCTTACGCACTGACATGAATTAATAAAAACAACATATCTCTAAATTCCGATACATCGATAGCATAAGGAAGGACTACTTTATATTATCGCTCCTTTTTTGGGTACTCATGTTTTTTTTATATTTATAACACGCGTGAAAATCCGAAGTATAAAAAGTTAGGTAGGGTATGTAGATTTTGCCAACAGTGTTCGGATTTGGAACCAAACGCTTGAGCCGTTCTTCTTAGACTTTCTTTTTCTTCTTAATAAAATTTGTATTTTTTTATTTTTCTTTTAGGGTTCAACTTTTAATTTTTTGAAAGAGTTAATCGAAGGTCTAATACAAGAGATATCATCTTTGAAGCCCCACTTAGTTTCAACTACAAACTATTCTGAAGATTTTTCAAACCATACAGACGTGTTCGATTTTTTAAATTATATTTCCACATACAAAAAGTAGTGTTGTGTACATTGTAAAGAAAAAATTATTAATTATGTAAAATAAAAAATTGATTAGAAATATAAAGTTTATTTTAAATAATTTAATAAATTTCTTTAATTAAAGATATTATTAAAATTATAAGAATATTTACAATTAAGTAAGTAAGGGCCAACAGCATCCCTACTCAATTTAGATGACATCTCGCTCTTTGCAATACAGAAGCTGAAGAGACAGCTCTATTTGTATTTATACATGAATTAAATGCTTGAAAGTGACCAATATTTAATTTTGAATGAAACTATTAGTCTAGTAATTGTACTTCGTTGAATATGATGGCTTGATGCTCTATATTAGGTTTATTATTAATAGTGGCTTAAAAGTGGCGCAGTAGGTAGGATACATGCTTAAGAAACTGTATTCACCTCTAGCCCGATAAGGCAACAAAATTAATTCACTCGAGCCACTAGTAGGTCACTAAGTTGACTCTTCCTGTATACCAAACTGTCTAAATTTAAAGCACCTCGTTCTTATTCGCCATTTTTAACCGACAGTTAAAAACGGTGGAAGAAAGAACGTTGACTGATATGTTCACACACAACAGTTTTTTTCGCGTCAGTTTATCACGATGGACCGTACGTGCTTGTTAGCAGTGGCAGCGGTTTTGGCAGTGGAAAAAAATGGCGAAAAAAGAAAATCTCCAAGAAAATGCACTAAAGACTGGCTACTTAAACGTAGTACACTGTCACATACAAAATTATTGGAGGAGCTAAGATTGGAGCCTGGCAATTGGCACAATTACTTGAGGATGGACGAGGATATGTATCGGAAACTGTAATTGAGAGACATAATACACAGGTTCGTGAATGCATCTGTCCTCACGAACGCCTAACAGCTACTCTGCGGTTTCTGGCCACTGGCAGCAGCTACTGGGATCTGAAGTTTGCTGTTATTTTACCGCAGGCACTAGGACGCATAATACCTGAAACCTGCCAAGCTCGATAAACTCTATTAAAAAGTCTCTGTTCCTCTGCCTAATATCCGACATTTTTATTAATAATAATAAACAACAAAAACATGCTGAACGTCGCTGCCACTGATAAATACCTGACCAGTCAAACTGTTGAGAACCCTCACCTCGTGTTTACTCGAACGGTTGGCACGATAACCGACAAAAATCAAGCCTCGCCTGAAATTTTGGAACGACATTCATAAACGACGTTCTTGCCCATACACCTCGTTTTTGTGACATTTTTACCCTGACGTTTTTAACCGTCGGTTAAAAACGGCGGAGAAGAACGAGGTGAGTGGGGCTCTTTACATTTTTATTAATGTATCACTCTGGTAACGCGAAATATTTTTGATAGCTATCAGAAGCAATTTTTCTAAGCTGTTCCGCCGTATATCGTCCAGTTTCTGCCACCATTTTGGAAAATACTCCATTGGAGTTTTGAAGAAGTAAGTGAGGATGGTCGTATTCTGCTACTTGACCAGCGTCCATAACCAAAACTTTGTCCGAATCCATGATGGTATTCAGTCTATGGGCTACTGTTATGACAGAGCAGTCAACGAATTTTTTCCTGATTGTCTTCTGGATTAAAGCATCAGTCCTGAAAACATATATCGAGTAAGTTTGAAAGTTTGTTACAAAAAAATATAATTAGATAGCAATTAGAAGATAAATGGAATAAAATCAAATTGTTACAAAGGTATAAAGAGATACTTCTCGATGACTATTTTGAAGCAGTATACTGGTAGACGGTACTAGAGACTTAGCAAATTAAAATAATGTAAAAGAAAGGACATATCTAGTGAAGATTATGATCCAGCTATGAAAAGAATTTGGAAGTATTATAGTCAACAATTGTGGACGGTTTACGTTTAGCGCCTCGACGGGTTTGTATATCTACAAGTTCTGGTACAGATTTTGTTGTCAAAAATAAAACATCTCGACGATCCTTCCACTTTCCAACGATAACCTTACTATTACTTTGGCGAAGTATCATTTCACCTGGAGCTAAATTTGCCGTTGTTACAGGAGTGGGGTTTAATTTTCGATTAGCTCTAAGCGTTCCTACCAAGTGCGTATTTTTTTCAAGAGCTGTTGGGCTAGATCTACGCTTGTGTAAAAATTATCGGTATATAACGTTCTACCACTATCGAGTAAGGGTTTCATTAACTCAAGGACTACTTTGTTAGCTAATAGTGTATTAACATTATTGACCTCATCCTTTCCTCCATACATTTTCAAGTTGAAAGTGAAACCTTTGTTAAGACACAATTTAAAAAGTTTTACCCCATACTTATGGCGCTTTACTGGTATGTATTGTTCAAAACTTAATCTGCCACGACATGCATGAATTAGTTCGCTCGCATCTTTAAATTGGCAGTAATATAATGAAGAAACGATACGATGACCAAGCTACAGAAGGATATTTCAAGGAAGGCGACAAAGTCTGGCTCCATAATCCAAAAAGACAAAAGGGTTATTTTCCGAAGCTTCAAAGGTCTTGGGAAGATCCGTACCTCATTAAGAACTGTATAAGTAACATCCCGAACGGTAAACCAAAGGTAGTTCACCAAAACTGGCAGGCGTCATTTGAGGGTAACCATGACAAGAAAGAAGAAGTAAACCAGCTTCAAGAATCACATGACCTTGTCTTTGAATGTATGGGTGCATATGGAGGACTACTCGCTGGTCCATAGCCAACATCTACGACGCTCGAGGTCTGGCATAAGTGTTCCGGAAGAAGTTTGGTCGATTGTCATAACTTCAAGACGGAAAAGCATTGAATCTTCAAAATGGATCGCGTTATCTTTTCTATTTAATAACAAAGAACTGTTAAGATTATTTGATTAGACCTTAAGGCAAGACCTACTTTTAGTTTTTGTACATTTTGTGACAATAGTTAAGTTGACGTTTTGAATATTTTATATAGTTGTCAGTTTATGTAAATTTCTATATTTCCATTTTTATAATTATTCACTTCAAGAAAGAGTTCATTCAGGTGGTGGTGTATGTCATTATAGCTGAATAGTCCACTCGTAACAAGAACACCTTCCGAAGATGTATGGAAAGCATTACTTAGTATGAGGGAGAACGTACTAGAGTCCAATGTAAAGAAACTAGCCATGTCCAAGATAGAGAGCAATCATCTAAATTGGAGGATACTTAAAAACATGCTGGAAGTAATCTTGTAAGATTCCGACGTCCAAATACTGGTCTGCAACCATTCGTCTAGTGTCCAGGTTTCAGCAAAAACTATCCTTTGTTATTTCAATACGAATCGAAATGGTAAAAGTGAGTTCTGTTGCAGATACAATAATTTAGTTTTAGTTCCAGAAGGAACCATTTCTTAAGGAGGAGGCAATGTTGCGCAAAGCCAACCCCGTTCTTTGTTTATTACCATATCGAGACCCATCTCGAGACTCGAGAAACCGAATCGAATGTTTTTCATCGCAGTCTGACGCGCAGAGTATAATTTGCAGAACATCTTGACTGAGCTTTTAGTCTAGAAGTTCTGGAATCTAATATCCATGCATCAGATTGCGATGGAAAACATTCGATTCGGTTTTTCGAGATGGGTCTCGATATGGACAGCGTTAGACTTCCTGTCGCGGGTAAAGTAATAAACATAGAACAGGGTTGGCTTTGCGCAAAATTATTTATATAATTGTGTATTTTAAAAAAACTTTTTTTTACGTTTTTGTATTTTACCCGATTTTATTAAATGTTTTTCATACTATACCTACTTTTATAGTAAGTTTTGTAGTTTGTCACTTTCTAATTTATTATATTTATGTATTTACACAATTTTGTTGTAGAGAAGCACTGATGATGGCTTGAGGCCTAAAGCGCTTTGGACAGTATGTATTTAAAGATAACTATACTAAATTCAGATATGGCTACTTCAATAAACATAAATCAGAAGTCAAAGATGCCTTAACCCATATGATTGCATATGCAAAGACATTAGGGCCACATTCTTTGAATACTATAGTAGGCAAGAGAGAGGTCCGACACGCCCAACATAGGGCGCGGCCATTTTGAACCATGTGACACAGTTTACAGCTAAAGAATCAGATCACTCACTCTGCGTCGGCACTTTGGATCTCAATGTTTCAGTTTATACACTGTGCAACTCGGACAATACAATATATGACAACCGCCTATAATAAAACAGCAGTCTTCTGCGTATTCTGAATTTGTATCCCTGGAGTGGATGTTATTTTGAAACTTTCAACTGGTCCGAGTGAGCTAACTGATACTTTAGCAATAAACTGTGACTTCAAAAATAATATTCACTGACGCTGACAGCAGCAAGCAAAATATCAGGTGCGTTTTAATCATCCGCTTCTGATTCCGGAATTGTCGGTTCAGTCGTTCTAACCTGTCAGATTAAAACAAGAAAACCGACAATTCCGAAGCAGAAGCGGATGATTAAAACGCACCTATTAAAAATATTGCGCCAAGATGTAGGCAACACGTAATAAGGGTTCAAAATGGCGGAGTTTTCTATCTCCTTTTAAAAGGCACTCAGAAAGCTGCGCAGTGCGACCATTCTCCGTATAGTAAAAGAAAATCAAAGTATGTGCATTAGGGCACTCGATTCAGGAATTTTTAAACGACAACTGTGGTGAATTTGACAATAAGCAAAAACTTATAGCACCTTACACAGAACAGGAGAAGTGAAAGAGAGAACCGCACCGTCATTGAAATTGCTAGAACTTGAAGTATACGAACCCAAAAGTCAAATTTCCGGAGGGTATTTGGGCCAAATTAGTAAATACTGCCATCTATATTCTAAATCGCACAGCCAAGTCGACAATTAAAGGAGTAAGTCTATATTAGTTATGAATAGAGCTCAAGCCTATAATAAAGTATCTAGGGATTATCAGCTAAGTTGCTACGTCCATATTCCAAGTCAAAAAAGAAAGAAAATTGATAAAAAAGCTACCAAGGGATATCTTCTAGGATATGATGAAGACGAAAGACATAGAATTTGGGTAAAAGAAACTTAAAAGGTTGTTCTGTCTCGAAATGTACAATTATTAAATAAAAAATTGCACACAACTAGAACCGCTATGATTTTTTTAAAACATTTTACTTACTGTGGATCTACATTAGCTGTAGCTTCATCTAACATCAATACTCTGTTCTGTTTTAGTATAGCTCTAGCTAAACAAATCAGCTGCCTTTGACCAACACTGTAATTCGATCCTCTATCCATTACTCTGTTCTCTAATCTGTTAATTACATTTGCAGGATCCTTTAATTCAACAGCTTCGATAGCTTTATATAGAACTTCGTCACTATATTCATCGAAGGGATCCAAATTATATCTCAACGTTCCTGAGAATAAAACTGGATCCTGTGGTATTATCGAAATTTTTAATCGAAGGCTTTTCAAACTGATATCTTTTGTGTCGATGCCATCGATCTGTATACCGCCCTCTATCGGTGCTAGTCTGAATAAAGCTTGAATTAGCGAGGATTTTCCAGCGCCGGTTCGACCGACTACTCCAACCTGAAATAATGTTCTATTAATTTTTCTAATTTATCAATAATTTTAAAATGTTTTAAACCTTTTCTTTGGGCTTGATGGTCAAATTCAAATGCTTCAAAACCATAGGCCCTCCTTCGAAATATCGAAGACTTGCATCTTTAAATATGATCTCCCCTTTTTGAGGCCATTCTTTTGGAGGCACTTTGGGAACTTCTGGTTCAATTTCTTTTGGTAATGTTTTATATTCCAATACTCTTTCTACGCTCATAAGTTGATTGGCTACCTCCGCAGACTGCCTCATTCCCCACTGAAGAAAAAAAGTCAAAGCTGTAGCTTGGCTAATGGCTAGACCTACTTCTCCCCCTCTCATGCCAAGATCTAAATAAATAAAATTAAAAAAATGTTGTAGTTCAATGCAGCAACTGTCTGCAGCTGCAAAAATATTTGTCAAAGCACAAACTAGTAAACGATTAGAATCAATAGAAGAAGGCTGTCACCATTCAACGTTAGTCTCGCTCGTATCATAAGAATTTCCACATTACTTACTCTCCTTTAGCAAGATGAAACTGAAGGTAAGAAGTCCTAAAAATGCAGAACAAAAGGCATCCAAGTAGAATCCAAATGCTGTACTGGAAACCAAAAACATATACCATGCACTCGAGTGATAGTCTTGGTGATTGTCGAATTCATCCATCAAAGTATTTTCCGCTCCAAAAGCTCTGATGGTCGTCAAGCCCTCTATTGTCGCCTTTAAATGGGAAAAGACGGGGCTTCTCACTAAAAAATAAATATGTTTGTTAACACGTTAACTGCCACACTAGAGTAAATAGAACGTATCTAAGGGGCCACCGAAAAATTTGTGTATTTTTAGGATATATTAAAGTGCAAGAACATATTCTATGATAAAAAATACAAAATAATTTTAGGGGTTGAACTTACTCCCGTGAACCATGTATAATTCACGCGGTCTCAGAAGGAAAATGACAGCATTGACCTCCCACTTGTGACAAGTTCACTAAATTTTGCTCTCAATTAATTTAAAAATGTATATTTCAATTAATTCCCGCCTGAGGACATGTAGAAGATTTATTTCTGTTTCCCAGGAATTACCGTTTTCAACAATTGCAAGTACCCTCGTAGATTAAAATATTCCTATATTTGCTGAAATCCGAATGGGCAAATTTGCATAAATACCGCATAAATTCCCATGTTTCTCACTCGACGAAAATTGCCGCGGCACATCGCTCGAGGATAAGATACGAGGGGGTTCCGACAACTTTGTTTCATTATATAGTAGGTTTTCCTTTTCTGAACGTACATTGTAGGTGGGCTAATGGTGGTAATAGCAAACTTTATTTTCCGTATACAGGGAGAGTCGTAACTACCCGTTTTTTTTAACTTCCCAGTTGGTAGCCGTTTGTTAAAAAAATTTAATTACTTTGTTTTGATTAATTATCGTTATTTTTTTTGTTTTACTACCTTCCAATCTTTAATAATAATTAGTTAACTGTGATACTTACTGATCCCTTCCAATCTTTTAATGTTTTTGGATGTCTTTAAATATACTCGTCTCATGAAACCAAAAATTACACTTAAAATAGCCATAAGAATTATAAAATATGGATTTACAACGATAATTAATATCAAAGTTCCAACCATCGACAGTAATATCTAAAATTATAAAAATAAGAATGATTTTTATGTACATTTTAATCTGTCTCAAATAAGTAGACTGTAAATGTAATCAGTACATACCTGTCCCGAATCTAAAATAGCCTTAGGTAACGGTTCGTCAATGGCTCCCATATCCTTAGAAAATCTGTTCAGGATCCGACCACCAGGATTGGTATCGAAGAATCTCATGGTTGCTTTGGTCACGCTATCATAAGCAACACCATGAAGTTTTTTTGAGCTCATCATGCATACTTTGTAGTACAAGAACGATCTAGTCATTGCTAAAATAAAGAGAATAAGCAGAATTCCAGCGTAAATGTAAAGGCAAGTGTCAGTGCTTAAATTCACCAATTTTACACTGAAAGTTCCTGTTTGTTCGGTGTCGATAGTTTGATTCCTGTATTCTTCGATGTTCACCCAGTAGCTAATCCAGTAGTCTACACTACTCACTCCAAGTTGCGTAGCGATGAACAAAAACCCGATTATTAGTGTCACACAAACACCAGCTCCCGCCGAAATGTATTTGTATAAAAGGGAACCATGAACTTTGCCTTTGGATGACTTCTCTTGCAAATCTTGTACTTGGGTGTCTTCTTGTTTTTCTTCCAAGTCTTCTTCATCTACATCTTCCGATAAAAGAGTGTCTGCAATACTGAGTTCACTTACAAGGCTAACCATAGATCCTCTGCGGTGCTAGAAATAATTTAATTGATTATTAATTAAGCCTCTCATTCACTCCTACTAGTTGTCTTCCCAAGCTAAAAGAGATAAGCTAAATATAGAGCTTGATAGAGATGAGTTAAATACCTTAATCGAAACGAAATGGCCGGATGAAATCTATAAAAGATGTAAAGCTGCCATTGACACAGATACTAGCAAAGAAAAAAGAGATATAATTATCATTCTAAAAGAAGGAGAAGAACAAGAACGCAGGTTGCTCCAGAAACCCATCGAAAGTAACCCACAACTAGCAACCATGCTAGAAGAGAAACAGTTAAAGACAGGAAAAATGGTCTGCAGCAAAACCTCCAGTGTTATGATTACAGACGACCCGATACACGCATCTCATTATGACTGAATCAGGCGGGGAAACAAACGAGGACAGAGATAACCTAACAGGAAATATATAACGCCGATATAATGAGAAACATGATAACGGATGTAAATACTGAGGGTATACTAATAGACAGAGTGGATAAATCAGAGAAAGGAAATATACATATAAAAATAAAAGGACAAGAGGAAAAGAACAGGCACGCTTTGAAAGAACAGCTGACCCAAAATTTAAGCAACATGGCAAAAGTAGAGACAAAACAAATAAATCAAATAGTAAAGATCCTAGACATAGATGATACCATTCAAATGGAATAAGCTCATTAAGGGCAACATGATGGCATGCAAAAGGAGGATAGCAGGTAAATCAAATATAAGAGGGTTAAATTATGCTTTCTTATCTGTTGGCACAGACACTGCACAAAAACTACTATCTAGAAGAAAAATAGGAGAAGGATGGAATAGATGGACAGTAAAAGAAGTAGAAAATGTACAAAAGTGTTATAACTGCTACAGGGTTGGTCACATAGCAAGTAACTGCAATAAAAAGGAACCCAAGGACCTATATCATAATTTTGGAACACAGGGACATCTAAGAAAAGACTGTAAAAACCTATGCAACACCGAAGGACACAAAGCAGAGACAATGAGATGCCCAGAGTATCGAATGCTTATCCAAGAGCAAAGGCAGGAGAAAAGGGTGAGGTTGTCGAGCGTATTTTAATGAAAATAACAGTACTACAAGGCAATGTCGACAGAGGCAACCAAGCGATGGACATGTTATTAGAAGATTATAAAGCGGACATGGTTATTATGGCGGAACCCAATAAGAAAAAATTAGCCCAATCCCAGATCAAGATGTTGCAATAATACACATTCCCAATAAAAATATCAGCGTGTATCAGAGAGGCTCTGGTCATATATGGATGCTATATATCACCTAACGTAGACTTAGAATACTTTACTAACTACATTAATATTCTGAAAGCAGACTTAAGAAGACACACAAAGGAAATAGTGATAGGTGGATACTTTAATGCAAAATCATACAGCTGGGGATATAAAAAAGAAGACAAAAGAAGTTAAATATTGATAGAGTGGCTTGCACAAGACGACGTAATAGTGCATAACTATGGAAGTGTTCCCATTTTCGTTAGAGGCTACAGCGAGTAATACATGGACTTAAAACTAAGCACAAGAAAAATAGCAAAACACTTAACTAAATGGAGGGTTTTAGAAGAAGAAAATCTAAGCTTTCATCAACATATCTGTTATGACATTGATGATAACATAAGAGAAAAAGACAGCACCAAAAATAAGAATCGAAGATGGACGATCAAAAAAGAAAGCATGGATGACCTAATACAAGAGATAGGAAGAATAACTAAAGCTCAAAATGAAGTATTAGGTGTCAAAGAGCTAAAAGAAATAGTAACGAAAGCGTGTAATAAAGTATTTCCTTCCAAAAAGTCTAAATCCAACAAAAAACCGGTATATTGGTGGTCGAATAGGGTGGCCGATACAAGAACATAATGCCTGAGATATAAAAGGGCCATGACCAGGGCAAATCGAAAGAAAGACGAAAACCAAAGGAGAATCGCTCAAGAACTATACCGAAATGCTAGAACAACCCTAAAAAATGTTATAATCGAAGAAAAGAAGAACGTTATAGAGGATATCAACAACGATACCTGGGGTAAAGGCTACCAGATAGTAATGAAGCACCTCAAGACGGCACCAGATATAATACTGACAGACGAAAAGCAACTAGAAATCGCAAAAACACTCTTTCAAGATTTAAAGGAATTTTAGTGTAAATTAAATTTAGGTAAAGTTATCTTTTTTTTGTTTTTCTGTTATCTCTCCATCTAATGCCAAAACGGTGGCGCCCTTTTGGTGCTTTTCGCCCTTAGACAATTGCCTTCCTAGTAGTAAATCCACCCTGGTCACTAGCCTAATGTTTTATTCTTTTTGTTTATTATGGTTATAAGTTATTTAACGGTTAGTTTATCAAAATATTCTTACTTTTTGTGAAAGTTGTCTGCAAAATTTCGTTTTGTCCAATTTTTGCTTTTCTGTATCTAATGGTTCTGGATCAACTGTCAACAATTTTGCATACATATTTTCGCTGCCAGTCAACAGATTAAAGTTTCCTTCATCTTCTACACGGCCCTGTAATAAACGTAAGTATTATATATTAATAATTATAATTCCTAAATTCATTTACTTACATTATTTAAAATAATAATATGATCCGCATCTTTTAAATAATGAACTTGATGAGTAACTAAAATTCTTGTCCTATTTGCTAGATAACCATTAATACATTTGTCATAGAGATGTTTAGAGACGTGGATATCAACGGCTGATAAAGGATCATCAAAAAGATAAATGTCAGCTTCTCTATAAACAGCCCTGGCTAAATTAATTCTTGCTTTTTGACCACCGCTTAAAGATGCTCCTCTATCACCGACTATGGTTAAATCTCCGTGTTCAAATTGTTGGAAATCTGTTTCTAAAGCGCATGCTTGGATTACTTCTTGGTAACGTTTTTTGTCATATTCTTCACCAAACAGAATGTTTTGACGGACGGTGGCAGCAAAAACCCAAGGTTCTTGCGAAGCGTAGGATATCTGACCACGTATTGCCATTTCTCCATGAACGATGTCCAGTTCACCTAAAAAAAGCTACTGTAACTAGAAAATATGAGTATTTTATATAAAGTATCTCCATTAGAATAGTAAGTTTAGATTAAAACGATTATTCGCTGATCTAATCTTTTGCTCTAGACCAAGCACAAGGAAACTTGGTACAAGAAACTCTTGTGGAAAGACTCTATGCTGTCCCTTCAGGCAGTGGAGGAGCACCACAGTTTCATAAGACATCGTTTAGCGCAGGGGTAATTTGGATGACTTGCGTTAACACTCTGGGAAACCTTTGGGACGGCGCGGATTTGACCGTGGTTGAATCTAAGGACCTCCCGAGAAGACCCAGGCTTCTGGTTTTCATCCCGGACGAGTCGGGGGACTTCTTCAGCTTCAGAATACGGAACTGAAGACGCCGGACTGGCTTTTAATGAGCAGGAAAATTGAAAAGGGAGGGCAACTCCTAGTCTTTTCAATTGACGAAGTATCGTACAAGGCCCTCGAGAGGTCACGATTCCGGGCCTATTATAAGCTACGAAGGGTGGCCTACAGGGTCCTAAGGCGGCCTGGCGGGGATCAGAATAATCCAGATCAACCTCCAGCACTGTAAGGGTGCTTCGGCTGTACTCACAGTAGCGATGGGGAGGTTTGAAGTGGCCCTGATACAAGAACCGTGGATTTAACACGGTACAATAAGAGGTTTAGGAGGGTTGGGTGGAGAGTTAATATATACCACATCCGCAAACACCCCTCGAACATGCATAATTGTCAAAAAAGGCATAAAAATACTGCCATTAACTAATTTTTGTTCCAGAGATTTGACAGCAGTCAGAATCAAGATCGATACAGGAAATGGACCGAAGGAGGTAATACTCGGATCGGCATATCTACCTGCAGACGATCCTGAAGCAACATCTACCCGAGAAGTGGAGGAGCTGGTGAGATTATGCAGGCGCAACGGAATGCAAATGATCATTGGCTGTGATGCAAACGCACACCACAGGATCTGAGGGAGCACCGATACCAACAAAAGAGATGAGTCTTAACTACAATTTATTATGGCAAATAATTTAGACATAACAAATATAGGCAATAAACCGACCTTTATAACAAAAAACGGAAAGGAGGTACTAGATGTAACAATAGCATAGTAATTTTCTTACAGACTGGCATGTGTATGACGAAGAGAGTTTATCAGATCACAGACACATAAACTTCAATATTAAAGGTAATATTGCAAAAGAAACTTATCGGAATCCCAGGAAAACAGACTGGGAGGCATACAATGCTTCCCTGGAATGTAATCTTTCGAAGATGAGAAAGACGATAAGTACAACAAATGGCTGTGGATGAGTTTAATGACACAGTCACTAGCGCTTCCAACGATACCTTTCCCTTAATAGCAAGTAACTCTATCAGGAAAGTTCCATGGTGAAATGATGACCTTGCTATATTAAGAAAACAGGTGAGACAAAAATTTAATAAAAAATTTTCTGTTCTTGTTCTTCCTTTTAAATTAAATGCTTTGTTCCATGTTTGTTCATTTCAGTCATAATTCACTCCTTCCTACTAGGTTTCTGGTCCTATGCTAGCAATATATTGTATTTTGCTAGTAATTAAAAAGTATGCCTTCAATTTATAAAACTGATTTACCCAAAATGGTTTGCAGCAAAGAACTCTTTCCACTCCCTACAGGTCCAATGATCCCCACCAACTGTCCATCTGGAATGTTCATATTAATATTTTCAAGTGCATTATCGGTATAACTAAGATTCCACTTAACGGTTAAATTCTTCAAGGTGATAATATCTTTAATATCGTCCACACTTTTGATGGTACCATTCATAAACGAGTGAATTTTTGTTGGATCATATTCTTCGTTCATCAAAAATGATTGGATTCTTTTGATGGCTACGCTCAGCTCAGCTATTTCTGATATTCCTCGTACGAACATAGCGCCCATTGTCATCGAGAGGAGATTAAAGTAAGAGCTGAAAACGTAGACCTGTAATGACGAACATACGTAAGATCTAATTACACAGTCATCAATGCAAAAAATCGATCTTACCCTAGAAGCAGTTATGGACTCTCCAGATAGAACCAATGTAAGTAAGGAACAAAATAAAGCTAGTCTCGTAGTAAATAGATTGAAAGCCATAAAGGTAGCTCGCACATAAGAAGATTTTGTAATAATCTTGATTTCCGCTCTTCTTGCAAGTTTGATAATTTTCTGAAAAGGTATTTCCCAAGCATACATTTTGATGACTTGTATCCCCGATAAAACTTCATCCATAAGTCTGACTCTTTCGTCGGTTCTCATTGCAGTTTGTCTTCTATATTTGGCAGATAATTTTCCAGTATAAGCTAAAAAATAAGGTTATACATGTAATTTCTATACAAATTTTTATGAATTTCTGGTCTCTCTTATTAACATTTTAAATTCGTCTTACCTTGCAGAAGAACGGTGGTGAAAACAGCAAGTATTCCAACAATACCAGCGTAGCCTGCATCTCTGTATAGAAGTACCATAATTATAATAGCAGAACATGGTCCTAGCCACATCTGGTGTAGAAATAAAGATACCAAATCAAATCTACTGACGTCGTTTGACAAGAGATTGACCATCTTACCAGATGCTGTATCTCCTAAAGCAGTTTTACTTAGTTTTAATGCCTAGAAACGTATAGAACATTTTTTATTGAGTTTCTATAATTCTACTTACAAAAAAACATTAATATTGAGAGTAAAATAGTTATATTATAAAGTACTCAGGGAAGGTAACTGATAACGCCTGATGTCGACGTTATACAATGAAATATAATTTACCTTTCTGTAAATAAGAGAGCAGCTAGCAGCTCTAATCCTCATACCCCCATGAAACGATTCCAGCATGTACTGATTGGAAATAAAAATCGATAAAACACTTGCAATCAAAATCAATCCTCCATACATTGAAGCTGTTTCTTTGGTGACATTAAGAGTTGGATTAAAATAGTCTAACAAACCTCCCAGGAGCATTGGTTGGAGAATTTTCAGTACTAATTCATTTGAAGCTGCTAATAATCCAATATAGAAATATTCTAGCCAGAAAGTTTTGACTATAGCTCGCAGTAAGCTGGGTTTTGAGTTTGTCTTTTTAGCTTTTGTCAACTGACAATTCCAGTTTCTACAATTAAGATTTGTATAAAAAAAAGTATAACTGGAAGAATAGTGTACTGTAATCATTAAGAAAAGTATAGGAAACATGATTTTTTTCGATTTCAAGTTTTCAATTTGATTACAAGAATTTCATGACGTGTTCTACACATCATATATTTTAAAATATTCTAACTTTTTTCCTAAATTTAACGATTTTTAGCAGATTTATTATCTGTATTAATATTTTTATATTAAAATAAAAACAACTGTTGTATTACTTACAATTCTAATTTATCTCCTAGAAATTTGCTTTTATCTTTCTTTAATGGATTGTATAAATCATCTACTTCCAAATTTTTGGAGTAACCTTTTTTAAACATGGGAAATGTGTACCTAAAAAGTAAATTTTAATTTTATTGTGCTTTTATAATTTAAAAATCATGTAAAAAAATGATAACAGATATGTAATACAATGCATATTAGTTGAAACAATAAGTAGAAGTGTGTAGAAGTATCTTTCTGATATGTGCAAGAAAAAGATGGTAAACAAAAAGTTAAACAAAGTGTTATGAAATATATGAAGATTAAGTACATTGCAAAAATACAGACATTAGCCCAGAAGTCCCCCGTAAACCACTAGTTATGTTTTTCGATTTTGGGTAGACCCTCTGCTCAGCTAATATTGCATTTTTAAAAATTCATCAACTTCAAATTGTGTTTTGACTGACTTCTAACTGTAGTCAGGTATAGGTCATTCACTGAATTTACCCCATATATCGGTTAAAGAAACAGATGCACGACTGAGCCGGTCTACAGGATAATTTCGCATCAGGTAGTTGAGTAAAATAAGCGTAGTCCTCCGGTGGGTAGAGGGTGAATATATTTTAATGATTAAATACTTAATTATTACTAAAGTAATACACGAAAAAATGAAAATATTTATAATTTTGTTTTGGACATTGTTTATGGTAATACCATTTTCCCCGAATACAATAAACGCTTTATGGTCAGGAATTTCCGGAAGTCCCCTTCTCAGGTATAAAATTAAGATTAAATGTTCTATTTTTGTACTGATGTTATAGGACTAATTGCGCTAAATTATTTAGTTCAGTTTTGGATTTCGAAGAGAACGTATGTCGAAACTGAAAATGCCAAAGCGCGTGTTACGTGTAGATGACTTAATTTGTTACCTGCATAAGTATTTTACGGCGGAAAAAGATAATGGAGGACCTTTAAAGCCAGTAGTGAGTGTGCATAAACGCGTCTATACAGCTCTCGGTATTAGTGATTTAAAATTAAAATAGGTTTTGAAAAACGACAAAAGCGGAGAGAGCAAAAAAAATAAAAAATACACACCTCGCAAAAAACTGAAAACGTCGGATATATCTGGTGGGACAAAATTTCGTATTCGTGGAACATGGAACAAATTTTTATATTAGAAAATATTTTATTTGAGCTAAATAACCCTCTTATTATACATAGACCATATTTTCTGTGTGAAGTGTAATATAAAATTATTATTAGGTTTATAATAGCCACATTAGACTCCATTAATGAAGAAGTGTAATTCTGGTCTCAATTATATAAAAGATTCTCCAATATTATTTAATTAAAAAGTTGTACAATATTTTTCATTTCATTTAACCAGTTGATATTTCCCCAAAGAACAGATCAAACTTTCGGGTACATACCTGGAAATACTCATAAAATTTTTAATCCGAAACCTGCGTAAGTATAGCGAACAGACTGTACTTTGTTTTTTACTATTCAGCATATTAAAAGTTCCCCATACCTATTCAATAATTTATAAATTACTTACCCAAACATCAAAATTGAGAGATAATTGGCTGCTTCCCTTGGATTTGGAAAATATCTTTCTTTGGTAATTTCCATAGTTGCTGCCTTGAACTAAGATTTTTATTCGTTTGTTTCTTCCTTGTTTATTCACTCCTTATTTCACATTATTTCTGCAACAAAATATAAATTTTTAATTTTATTACAATGATATAGGTACCTATATTCAACTTTTTATTAATTGTTGCTAGGAAATGATTTAACTGCAAAATATATACTACCTATTGTTGTAAAAACAGAAAAAACTCAAGTTTTATTTTTGTCATTCAATATTTTAATATAATTATAGTTCATATAGATGTTTTTTGCTACCGAATGTGACGTTGCCACAAATATGAATTTACCTAGAAAGATACATTCCAATAGAGGACATTCTACACTCGAAGTAGTAATATTTATTTACCCACAAACATGAGAAACAAATAATAGACCTAAATACTATTATAAAGTTAGTTGAAATTAAAAATGAATAAAAATTATACAAATACGGGGACCTATCTCGCACAAACTGCTACAAATAGCAAGATGTGTACACAAATAAATAATAAAAATATGATAACCGGTAAGGTTAGACAGATAAAATTATATATTTTGCAACAATTATAAATAATTACACAGAAATTAAAATGAAAAATACCGACATACCTATTATAAATTGAATAGCATGACCTTAAGAAGTTTATTTTTAAAATCCGAATAACTTATAATTAGTATTAAGTACCTATGTTTCGTACATTAGCCTATGCGATCATCAATAGTCTCAATACCTCTCATTGTATTTATATGACTTATCTATGCTAAGTACTATTTATTAATAACCAAAAAGAAACAAAATCATTTGTAATATTAGCACTAGGTACGTCCAATAAAGATAACAAAATAATAAAGATGACTTGTAACTTTTAAATATTTATATAGCGTTAAATAGATTAAAAGATATATTTTGCAACTATCTCTAGAAATCATTTTACAGAAATAAAAATAAAATACGCATAATTTTAAAATTTTCCAGCTATTGCAGGCTTTTTGTTTGAATTTCAGCTTCATTTTTAAGCCAGTAAATTTTTATAAAAAATTACATTCTCAAAATGGGATTAGTGATTATAGTTGCGCAAAGCTATCTTTCTTCTCTTAACTAAATCAGAACACTCAGATTCCCACCACGCTGCAAGAAACCTTGAAAGAGTAAAAATAATGTTTCTAGACATAGACGAATCTGCAGCCTCCGAGACAGCTTCAAATAAAGTAGGGCATGAAGCAGATTCAGATGATGAAGAGGAAAAAATTTGGCCAAATATGACTTGAAGGTAACACCGTTTATCAGGATTATTTGCAATATTTATTAAGATAGAAAGATGATCAGAACCTATGGGATCAGGAATTGTTTTTCATTCACATTTAGGTGCTAATATTGGAGAAGATAAAGGAGGGATTAGTGGGCCCTTAAGAAGAAAAAATAAAATTCCGTAATACGTGACGGACCCTTCTCCCTCCTGAACCGGTAGGTCCTACGGGTCCCAATATGGCACTGGTTAGGGGACAGAATTCGTGTGGAGGAGCCGTCATTTAAAACTAATAAATTTAGGTTATTTAGAGCTTCAACTAGACTTAAACCACTTCAATCATTACTAATACAAATCTCCACAAATTAATACCGGTGGATTGAATTGAGACAAGAGGTTTTCCCAGTAAGTATTAATAAAAATATTAATTTTAGTATGTGTATCGTAGTAAAACTGGTCAGCTGTCACTATAATTTTATAAATCTGAGATCAAAAGTATTTTTGTTCTCGACAGAAATTACCGTCAATCCAAATAGACAAAATGTTAAATGTATAAAATAGTACAAAAGTGAATTTTACTACTAATAAAATGAGAATAAGCAATAATTTTGTACAGTAAAAATAGCAATTCATCATTTCTTGATAAACTAATTTATTTTAGCACATCATTATTTAAATAATATCTGATAAAATAACGTCTGAAAATGAAATCCTTACTTACTGCATTTCATAGAAAATTACTTTTCAAATCACAGAGTTCTTATCTTTAAGAAAGTATGACACTTGACTATATTACTCGTACACTATATCTACATTCGGCGTTCTACAAACGTAAGGTTAACTTTTGCATAACCTTGTTGTGAATGAACAGATAACAGGTATCTGCGATATAGGAATTTGTGATAAGTTAATAAAGTAGAATTATGCGATTTCAAATTTGATTTTGCTGATACGTTCATTTACATTGGTATACGATGACGGTACAATAACTACGATAAAATCTTTATATTTTTTATATGCTATAGTTTTTAACGGACTGCGTCAGAGTAATATGTCCTACCACGTTTTTATTTGTGCTATTTTTGTTTCGTTATGGTCCGATTACAATAAGAAAAACACCGCTACGTCAATCATTATTTCAAATCTCAAATATATTTTCTATAACTATCATTAAATAAATAATGAGAAAGTTGTAAGGTATACAAAAATAATTTCTATATTCCTATAATATTAACATAGCACTAATGCCACAGTAGGCGGCGATATCCAACAAATTACTACGTCAAGTGATGACGTAGCTGTGTTCTTCTTAATGTAATCGGAACCTACCTCCAAATGGGTAACATATTTAGTGTGTCCCATGAAGTTTCACGAATGGTTGAACGATTAAGGGAAACAGTAAACGAGCTGCATAATATAGCAATCGCATCAATGTGACAATATTCAATCTTTAACCCGTCTGTTACTTATTTACCTAAAATATTATTATCGCCTCAAAATAATAGGCTATCATCTTAAAAAAAAAGAAGTATTTTGAAAGCCAGTGAGAACCCACTGACTGTTTCTCTTAGTTTATTTCTAAAGAATTAAAATTATCCTAATTTTAATCCTTAGTAGCTCTACAAAACTATTTTCACGTTGACATATTTCTCGTGAAAATCTTGAGAAAATTAATTTCTCTCGAGTTTGAAAATAGCCCCCTGGCAACAAGTAAACTGGTAGAGGAACAGAATAAGACTTCACAAAAAGAGGAATAAGAAGTGGTCAAGCTGCTACCAGAAAATTAAAGAAAAACAAGGTCGTGAAATTAGTTTATACAAAATCCGATAAATGTATTTTTGAGTTATTTTACTATTTATACCGATATTCTTATAGCTACCAATTAATCCGCAATTAATTAGTGAAGAGTGTGTAGACCAGAATCGTTGTTATTCCCCTAGAAGAAACGAAAAATAATATACCACTGATGATTTAGCTTAGTCAAATGCTCAAGGAGTGAGTTTAATAGTGATTTACTTTGTGGATCATAATATATAAGAGAGCCCCACCGAATTTTAGATAATGAAAGTTTGAGGCCGATTTCAGAATACGATTGAAACATAAGTATAGGAACTCTCGACATAGCGAAATAAAATTAAAAATTTAAATATAAACCAAACAACATCACTATAAAATACAATAAATAACAATTTATATACATAAAAAAAAAATTAAAAAATGTAAGAAGAAACGTATAACGCTTTAAGAAAATAAAAATAAGTACACCTAACAAATTTGAGAAAAAAAAAGTGAAAAAGAGAACAATATGAACTCTCTTTTAGCGCTAATGAAAAAAATCTAGTTTAATAAAATGTTTTGATTCAACTTCCAGCCCCCCGCCATACGACGCCCATGCAAGAAAATAATTTAAAACTCACCTAGGTAAAGTAGGTATCTGTACTTCTTTCGAAAAACCTCCGCGTTTGGCTTTCTTGTAGAAACATCAACATGGCTTAAACAAGGGTACAAACTATTAATTATAATTCGAAAGTTAGAACTAGGTAAAACACATTACAAAAAAAATTAAATACCTACCTATTTACATTCATATTTAAAATTCGCAATACCATAGCTCACCGAATGGACATCAGCAATACCGACAGAGTAAGTGTTCTGTGATACCGACTCCAGAAATATTCACAGAGATACGTCCTAATTACGATTTATATCCATCCTTGTTGTACCCATTAAACAAAGCATCTTGTTGGTGAAAACAAAATATATGTTTCTGTAGCAGAGACATAATATGTATCAAGATACGTCCTACTTACTTCCCGTAGCCGGTGACGAGGTTCAACGATCGGTGCCGAGAACAGGCGATTATCCAATTTGAATTTGTTTACTTACTTAAGTGGTATGTACTATTTACATCTAACAGTGAAAAATATGGAAGATTCGATTTTAAATAAAATATTTAACAGTGTCATGTAGAATGTGCGATGGAGACTGAAAAACATACATGGTAAGTACCCCATTCATATAAAACTATTTTTCTCATTACAAATCCTTGTTTTCCTTTAGGGCCATTTCCAAAGCTATTTATTTGAAAATGAAAGCAAAATTATATAAAAATGTAGACCTTTGCCATACAAACTGTGCCATCGTACATTTTAAATAAACTATAGTCGTTAATTCTTGTTTATTTCGTAACTACTAGCGGTGGAATTGGACTTTAGAACAAAACTCAACTTTTAAAGTGTTGAACAGCTAAATAATACTCTCAGCAGAGCATATTTCCCAAATAATCAATCTAGTAATATAAGATTTACAGGGTAATATCCTAAATTCGTTATATTTATTCACTAGTTACCTACATGATTATTACAATTTGTCAGGCATCCTAAACCACCAGCGACCTGTCAAAATGCTATCGGTAGTATCGGTGGGCAGTGGTGTGGCAAACGGCAAGCCTGGGGGACCTATTTTCAAACTATGGAAGTACCTTCATAATAATATGCTATTTCTTGTGAAAATCTTGAAATAAATCATTTCTCTGGAGTTGGAAAATAGGTCCCCTGTTGTGGGCCTGTTTGCTTTGACAGGATCAACGATATATTAGTAATATAGATTGCTCAGCGCAAGTGCTCATTAATAAGGATTGGTTTAGCAAAAATGTGTTTTAAAACCAATTTTCAGCATTTGAATACAGTGAAACCATTGTTGCCTACATTTTTACTTTTAATGAATGAATTATATTTATTTTAAAAAACATGGATTACCAATTTATATGGGGTGATTCAAAATTGAGTGCAAATATTTTAAGGGTGTATTTACCAGCCAAAAATATAAAATTTTTCATATAATCATATGTCCTACTTCGTTTTCTAGATACAGGGTGTCAAAGTTTTTTAAAAAAATCGTTTTTTTATCAATTACTCAAAAACCTGTCAGCCGATTTAAATAAAATTTGGTAGGCTTATTTGTCATCATAAGGGCCTTCCTTTTCTGAGTATAAAATAAATTTATTAATTTCAGTGGCGTATCAGGGGGCTACCTACTTGATATTTATAGATAAAATTAAGGTAGGGCATTGCTTTTTTGACAGTTAATTTTTTTTTAGATTAGTTATCAATAATGTAACTTTCTTGCCTCTTTAGCATTACTTGTATTCGCAATAACATTTTATAGTTTATTTGAAAAATGGACGATATCAAAATTTTTGAGAAAATTTAGCAGTGGTAAGCACCTAATTGATTTATTTTTGAAGATGACTGTCGAACTCTATGGATATCCATACGAGCACTGATGATGGCGTTATGCCGAAAGCGTTTTGCAAATTAAATAAATAAATAATTTTGCAGGAAATACAAATCTTATTTTGCTAGTTTTGCTAAATCTAATCAAACACACACAAAAATTTGTTAAGTTAAATTAAAGACTGTTTAGTAATATTATAACGTTTATTATAAAAAAAATCATTTAACTCCTTAAATTAAAAATAATATTAAGGCTATAAATATTTACAATTTTCAGTTATCTAAATAATTAAGGACCCTCTATTTTCATGTTTTATAATTAGGAGAAAACATTTCTAATTTTTACATTATTTTAATTTGCTCTGAAAATGTTTTAAATTAATTTCAACATATCAATATTTATATCTATTATAAATTGTACACATGAAAATAAGCGAACAGTACTTCAAATTATGTTTCCAAATAAAGAGTGATCTACAAAAAAGTTTCCAAAGTAAGCCATGACCGACAAAGACAGAGATATGAGTTATGTCAGTGATAACTACGCGCGGCTCTGAATTAAATCGAAACTGACAATAAAAAAGAAAAATAATCATTCTCTTGACATAGGCCTACTTTAGAAACTTTTTTTTGAGTAATCCTTATTATACTTGCCAGATTTTCCACAGATATTCCCAAATGACTAGAAAAACATAAACAACAATATAACAAATTAAACAAAAATTATTTTTCCATTCGATGCTAGATGTTTTAAACTGTTTGTTTAATGTTGGTATTATTAATAAGGATCTAAAAGTGGCGCAGTAAGTAGGATATCTGCTTAGTTCAAGACTGGCCTGGAAAAGCAACAAAATTCACCCGGTCGCGTCCATTATGGGCAACTAGCTTGACTCCTAAATTAATAATACTCTTATTGTGTGCCAAATTACCTAAATTTAAAGCTCATGTGATTACATTTCTAATATAAAATTATGTACATATCATTCCGGTAGCGCGAAAACTTTTTGATAACTGTCCGAAGCGATTTTTCTGAGCTGTTCCGCCGCAGCCCGTCCGGTCTCTGCCACCATTTTGTAGAAAACTCCATCGGTATTCTGAAGAAGTAAATGAGGATGGTCGTATTCTGCTACTTGACCAGCGTCCATAACCAAAACTTTGTCCGAATCCATGATGGTATTCAGTCTATGGGCTACGGTTATGACAGAGCAGTCAACGAATTTTCTTCTAATTGTTTTTTGTATTAAGGCATCAGTCCTAAAAGGATAAAATAATAAGAATGATTGCTTATATTGTCAAAATAGCGACCACAGTTGAAAAATGTTCCTACATATCTATCGAGATAAGTACAAGGAGTATATGTCAAATATAATGATTTTCCAGAAAACACCTCCAAAGTTTTCTAAATATCTTTCCTTTGTATGCATAAAATTGATAGGTAATTTATTATACGTTTTCTGCAAGACAAATATGTTTTATTTTAATGAAAGTTATTAAACAAAAAAAAAATATTATGAAAATCGGTGACTTATACTGTTCTACCACCATTGACTTATACTCTTATTATTAACTACATTTTTTTATATAAAAATAAACAGGTTTGAATTCTTTTTTATTAAAAATATGAACAAAAATTATAGGAGCTACTTTAAGCTGAAATTCGAAAACAAAATTTTATTCTAGCTCTTCTTCTTCTTCTTCTTCTTCTTCTTCTTCTTCTTCTTCTTCTTCTTCTTCTTCTTCTTCTTCTTTCTTCTTCCACTAGGTCGAGAAATGTGCTTTTGGCATTGTTAGTAGTTTTCAGATTTTTATAAAAACCGTGAGTGTGGACTTAGTAAATCCAGAAGAGCCAAGATATCTTTCTTTTTTCATTAGAAATTACTAATGAAGATGTATAGCAAGGTAGCGGATTTAAGAGTGTATCTTGTGATATCGTTCCTTCTAAATTCACACATCGAAACTCTTCCTTTTCGTCTAGTGAAGACTTGAAAAAAATATTTTTTGGAAATCCTTGACGGTACCTTAGCCACCGCAGCTCTGTCCACTTGAAGGAGTTACCATTGCTATCTTTTTGTTTTAGTTTAAGATGGCTTTTATATAGGTCGGAATAGTTTACGAAAATAAAATAAAAGTTTGTTTGTTAAATGAGTTATCAAAACAATCTACTTAATTTCAGTTTCAGTATTGTTTATGTTATTGCATATATCCACCATTTTTTTGCCTCTGCTCAAAGAAGCCTGCTATTAACCACGAAAAATAATAATACAACAATTCACTTTAAACACTATTACCTACTTAAACTTTAGGTGAGTAAAAATCAAACTAAATAAGTAGAGTTCACATGCCTAAGAGTGGCAAGACAAGATAATAATAAAAGCTTAGACTGCTAACATAAAAAAAGTCTCAATAGTATAAGTCAGCAGTCTACTATCTAACCAACAGTGAGAAACATGGGTCCTAACAGTATAACTTGACTTATACTCCTTACTTATAAAAACCAGATAATATGGAACTTGACTTGTACTGAAAGGTTCAATGCTAAACCGTTAGTAAAAAATACTCAGTATTGACTTGTACTCTTAGGGCGTATATTTAGATGATAAACATGAACTATAGTAAAAAAAAAACCCGAAATCAAGAAAATCTGACTTATACTCTTTGTACTTATTTTGATAGATATATAAAAAAATTAAAGAATCTATTATTAAATTTAAACACTAAGAAAATAGAATAAGTAGCAGTTACTCATTGTCATAAACTGTTTTGGATAATTAGCTTTCTTTTTCCTAATATAATTGGGTCTTTATTTTATGAAAATAGCTGTGAATTGTAGATTGATGGGTATTTCGAGAATATTTGAAACCTCCAAACAACCAACATTAAACCAAAAAGTAATAGAAAAATAAAACTGTCATAGAAGGTAATCACTTTTTAGAAGTTGGATTCCCTTCTTCATTTACTATTTTATACTTTAAACTACTACTACTATTTTAAATAAAAGCATTTCCTATATATAATGCTGCACGATATATATTTTACTTACTGTGGGTCTACATTAGCTGTGGCTTCATCCAACATCAATACCCTGTTCTGTTTTAGTATAGCTCTAGCTAAACAAATCAGCTGCCTCTGACCAACACTGTAATTCGACCCTCTATCCATTACTCTATTCTCTAATCTGTTAATTACATTTGCTGGATCCTTTAATTCAACATCCTCGATGGCTTTGTACAAAACATCGTCGCTATATTCATCGAAAGGATCCAAATTGTATCTCAATGTTCCTGAGAATAGAACTGGATCCTGTGGTATTATAGATATTTTTAATCGAAGGCTTTTCAAACTGATATCTTTTGTGTCGATACCATCGATCTGTATACCGCCCTCTATCGGTGCAAGTCTGAATAAAGCTTGAATTAACGAGGATTTTCCAGCGCCGGTTCGACCGACTACTCCAACCTAAAATAATGCTCTATTAATTTTTCTAATTTAAGATTAATTTTAAAATGTTTTAAACCTTTTCTTTGGGCTTGATGGTTAAATTCAAATGCTTCAATACCAAAGGCCCTCCTTCAAAATATCGAAGACATGTATCTTTAAATATGATCTCCCCGTTTTGGGGCCATTCTTTTGGAGGCACCTTAGGAACTGCCGGTTCAATTTCTTTAGGCAACGATTTGTATTCTAGCACTCTTTCTACGCTCATAAGTTGATTGGCTACCTCCGCGGATTGCCTCATTCCCCATTGAAGAAGACCAGTCAAAGCTGTAGCTTGACTAATTGCTAAACCTACTTCTCCACCTCTCATTCCAAGATCTAAATTTAAAAAATTGTTAAAGCTAGTTCGAAATAAAATAATTTCGATATACTACAAGGCAACGTATTATTCCTTATTATAAGTATATAGAAGCCTACGATTACCTTAGCTATGTCGGCTGAAAAAAATACTTACACTCGCTGAATAAGATAAAGCTGAAGGTGAGGAATCCTAAAAATGCCGAACAAAAAGCATCCAAGTAAAATCCAAATGCTGAACTGGCTACCAAAAACATATACCATGCACTCGAGTGATAATCTTGGTGACTATCGAATTCATCCATCAAAGTACTTTCTGCTCCAAAAGCTCTGATAGTTGTCAATCCTTCTATTGTTGCCTTTAAATGGGTAAAGACGGGACTTCTCACTAAAAAAAATACATTAATTTAACTCTAAATCAATCCTTTGTTAATACTAAGGTCGTCTCCAAAAAGATTAAAAAATTAAAATGTATATAGTTAATACCAAGCACCAACTTGGGCAAGGTAGTTAAATAAGAAACAAGCAATAGCATGTGGGAAAATTAAACAAAATAATGGGAAATTATTACAAGTTAATGAATGAAATGTTGTGAATTAGAACATTTTAAAGAACAATTATGTAGCAATGGCGTGTTTTTATTTATTTATTTATTTAGTACACCACTCAACAGTTAAAAACCAATTACACAGTGGGATGAACAGCGATTTTCTTTTTCAGGTTTTCATTCTCTTTTTTGTCGACAATTTCAATTTTTGTTTTGCAGGAATTACAAATAAAATAAATATTTTTCAACTTATGAATTACTTTAAAATCATTATTATCCATAAGATAGCACTCAGGACGAAACCAGGAATCACAAGGTCCCTCACAGCCAATAAGATTTTCATTTCTCTTTTTCAATTTGCATTTAGCAGAGAAATCAGGCATTTTGCATAATATTGTCCAGTTGGTTCACACCCAAGAAATAATAACAAAAAAAATTGTTGTGGTTAGAATAATGTAGACCAGATAGTACCTGAGGAGGTTTTTAGACATTCCTTCAATTACGTTAAGGCAAGGGACCATACAGAACACAAACAGTCACTGCAAATTAATTTTGTTTAGTTATTAAAATAACACTAATTTTACACAGAGCAAGAAATATAAGTAGGTAGTTAATCAACTGCACTAACTGTTGTTCGAAGGTAGTTGTAACAAAAGCGCCCGATCAAAAAGGGTACGAGAAAGGTTCTATTGACATCAACAAATATATTATTAATGCATAGCCATGCAAATACCTTACATAGCTTTGGACTCTTATAGTATCTACCTTCTTAACATCGAAGTTGAGGGAGAAGCTAAAAGGGAATCTAACAGTTGAGACAGTTCATAACAAAATTGTATTACTTACTCATTCCTTCCAATCTCTTAATATTTTTGGATGACTTCAAATATACGCGTCGCATTAAACCAAAAATAACACTTAGAATAGCCATAAGAATTAGAAAATACGGGTTTACAACGATAATTAATACCAAAGCTCCAACCATTGACAGTAACATCTAAAACAAAAAAATGTAAATATAAAATATTGTAATCTACCTCAATGCTGAATACGTACCTGTCCAGAATCTAAAATGACCTTAGGTAATACTTCATCAATGGATCCCATATCCTTAGAAAATCTGTTTAGAATCCGACCACCAGGATTGGTATCAAAGAATCTCATTGTCGCGCTGGTCACACTATCATATGTAACCCCATGAAGTCTTTTTGAGCTCATCATGCATACTTTATAATACGAGAATGATCTAGTAATTGCTAAAGTGAAGAGAGTAAGCAGAATGCTACCATAAATGTAAAGGCAAGTGTCAGTGCTTAGATCCATTAATTTTATACTGAAAGTTCCTTTTGGTTCGGTACCGTTAAGAGTTTGATTTCTGTATTCTTCGATGTTCACCCAATAGCTAATCCAGTAGTCTACACTACTCACTCCAAGTTGCGTTGCGATGAACAAAAACACAATTATCATTGCCACACAAACACCAGATCCTGCTGAAATGTATTTGAATAAGAGAGAACCATGAACTTTGCCTTTTGATGATTCCTCTTGTGTATTTACTTGGATTTCTTCTTCTTCTTCTTTTTCGCCTTCACCTTCTTCATCTATATCGTCTGTTAAAAAAGTGTCTGCAACGCTGAGTTCACTTATAAGACTAGCCATAGATCCTTTGCGGTGCTAGAAATAAAGGATTATATAAATGGTATATACAAGGTAAGACAATTAAATAACCGGACTGCGCATGCCTTGGGCGTTAGGTTTGGTTTGGGAAAACGGGAATGGAATGTAATTAACCTTGATGCTTCTAGTACGTTATTCGGTCCTTCTATCTAGTTTAGTTTGTTGTTAATCCTTGTTTGAGTAAGACGTTGTTGTGTCAGAGTGCCGCGCAAAGCGTTAATTTGAAATTTCTGGTAAAATAAAAAAAATCTCCAACTGAATGTTTTCAATTGTCACGTAGTTAAATTTTTGATTAACTCAAACGATTTGCTGAAGGTCCAAAGGTTTTTGAAGATGACAAAATGACGAAGAACTGATGAAAACATGGGTACCTCAGGGTCAAAGTAAACTAGCAGTACTACTGAGGTCCCGACAAAACTTAAAGAAAGATTGAAGAAGAAAAGACCAAATCTGTGGATTTTTTACCAAGGCAGCTATCCGGAGCACAAAGCGCTCTCTGTGAAACCGTACTCACCAGGAAAAACCGGCAGATTTACTGAAGAAGGCGACACTTAATGACCTACGGCACTGCTTTGAACAGTGGAAAGATCGTATGCACCGGTGTATAGATAGGGAAGGGGAGTATGTTGAAAGGGATTAAAAGTTATTTGAAATAAGATTTCATTAAAGTTAATTTTTAAGACTAGTCTGGTTTTTTAATTGTATGTTTTATCTAAATATTCTTACTCTTTGTGAAATCTGTCTGATGAATTTTGATTTGTCTAATTTTTGCTTTTCTGTATCTGCTGATTCAGGATCGGATGTCAATAATTTGGCATACATATTTTCGCTGCTAGTCAACAGATTAAAAGTACCTTCATCTTCTACACGACCCTGTAAGAAACGTAATCATTCATTGTTATTATTAATTAAAGCTCCATGAATTTACTTACATTATTCAAAATAATAAGGTGATCCGCATCTTTCAAGTAATGGACCTGATGAGTAACCAAAATTCTCGTCCTATTTGCCAGATAACCATTAATACATTTATCATACAGATGTTTGGAGACATGGATGTCAACGGCTGATAAAGGATCATCGAAAAGATAAATATCAGCTTCTCTATAAACAGCTCTGGCTAAATTAATTCTTGCTTTTTGACCACCGCTTAAAGATGCTCCTCTATCACCGACTGTGGTTAAATCTCCGTGTTCAAATTGTTTGAAATCTGTTTCTAAAGCGCATGCTTGGATCACTTCTTGGTAGCGTTTTTTGTTATATTCTTCACCGAAGAGAATGTTTTGACGGATAGTGCCACCAAAAACCCAGGGTTCTTGCGAAGCGTAGGATACCTGTCCGCGTATTGCCATTTCTCCGTGAACGATATCCAGTTCACCTAAAAAAAAGCTACTTTAACTAGAAAATAGGGTATTTTATGTAAAGTATCTTCATTAAAATAGAAAGTTCAGATTAAAACCATTACTCTAAATAAAAACTTGGTCTAATCTTTCGCTCTTGATCTTTCTTTCAAACTAAATACTTTGTTCCATATTTGTTCATTTCAATTAAAATCCACTCCTTCCACTAGGTTCTTGGTCCTATGCTAGCAGTTTATTGTATTTTGCTAGTAACTAAAAAGTATGCCTTTAATCTATATAAATAACTTACCCAAAATCGTTTGCAGCAAAGAACTCTTTCCACTCCCTACAGGTCCAATGATCCCCACCAACTGTCCATCTGGAATGTTCATATTAATATTTTCAAGTGCATTATCGGTATAACTAAGATTCCACTTAACGGTTAAATTCTTCAAAGTGATAATATCTTTAATATCGTCCACACTTTTGATGTTACCATTCATAAACGAGTGAATTTTTGTTGGATCATATTCTTCGTTCATTAAAAATGATTGGATTCTTTTGATGGCTACGCTCAGCTCAGCTATTTCTGATATTCCTCTTACGAACATAGCGCCCATTGTCATCGAAAGAAGGTTAAAGTAAGAGCTGAAAACGTAGACCTGTAATGACGAACATACGTAAGATCTAATTACACAGTCATCAATGCAAAAAAAGTCGATCTTACCCTAGAAGCAGTTATGGACTCTCCAGATAGAACCAGTGTAAGTAAGGAACAAAATAAAGCAAGTCTTGTAGTGAATAGATTGAAAGCCATAAAGGTAGCTCGCACATAAGAAGATTTTGTTATAATCTTGATTTCTGCTTTTCTTGCAAGTTTGATAATTTTCTGGAAAGGTATTTCCCAAGCGTACATTTTAATGACTTGTATCCCCGATAAAATCTCATCCATAAGTCTGACTCTTTCGTCGGTTCTCATTGCAGTTTGCCTTCTGTATTTAGCAGATAATTTTCCAGTGTAAGCTAAAAAATTGTATCTACAGTATCTACCAAAATATCTTTATTATTTAGTTACCACCCATGCTAATATGAACATAGCATCTTAAATTTGTATTACCTTGTAGAAAAACGGTGATAAAAACAGCAAGTATTCCAACAATACCGGCGTAACCTGCATCTCTGTATAGAAGTACCATAATTATAATAGCAGAACATGGTCCCAGCCACATCTGATGTAGAAATAGAGATACCAAATCAAATCTACTGACGTCGTTGGACAAGAGATTGACTATTTTACCGGATGCTGTATCTCCTAAAGCCGTTTTGCTTAGTTTTAATGCCTGGAAATGTACAGAACATTTTCTTTTCATTAATAAGGCATCCAAAATACATAGGACACAGGACAAAGTACAATAATATCAGCAATTCAAACTAGATTACAGTAAAATATTGGCACTGAAAGGGTTATTATAGTATTTAAGCATGAGGTCTACCTTTGGTTTACTACCAAAATAGAACTTTAGAACCTACCTTTCTGTAAATAAGGGCACAGCAAGCAGCTCTAATTCTCATACCCCCGTGAAACGCTCCCAGCATATACTGATTAGAAATAAAAATTGAAAAAACGCTTGCGACCAAAATCAGCCCTCCATACATTAAAGCTTTTTCTTGGGTGACATTAAGAGTTGGGTTAAAATAATCTAGCAAACCCCCCAGGAGCATCGGTTGGAGTATTTTCAGTGCTAAATCATTTGAAGCTGCGAGTAATCCAAGATAGAAGTATTCCAACCAGAAAGTTTTTGCTATAGCTCGCACTAAGCTGGGTGTCGAGTTCGTCTTTTTTGCGTTCGCCAACTGACAATTCCAGTTTCTGCAAATAAATAATTACGAACTGTACTATCTAAAAAAAAAACTGTAACAGCAAGGGTTAGACTACTGGTGCCTATCGTTCTTTATTAATAATGGAAATTAATATTGTAACATATTTGTAGAGCTCGATTTTTTTGTGAAGAGCACATTTCGTCATAGCTATGCCACAGTTCGCGCAGTGCGTCATAACTTTGTGGAGCTTTAGTTGATGGCGCTGGGCTGAAATCTGCTACGGTAGGGATATCTGATAACTTAGCAGTGACGTGTGTACATTAATAAAATATTTTAAATCAAACATATTAATAAGTTAATGTTAAATTTTAACTATTCGCTAGTTAAATTGCTGATGAACTTTAAATTAATAAAACAACTAAAAGTTTAAATAAATAATATATTTTAATTTAATTTGTATAATTTTAAACATTTTCATTATCTTCCAAGTCGGAAATATCGAATTCTCACTCATCGGATGACCCCGTGTTTACACTAAATATGAGGGAATCTGTAAATTCATCCATAAGGTGTTCTCTTTGAATATATGCATCCTCATATTTCGCGAAATGGTCCATCACGTTTGCCCATTCCTCCGGCGTTATGCTATGGAATTTTTCTCTTGCCAACTTTTCAACATTATCCAATTTGAATGTTGTGTTATGTTGACCCACCCAATTTTTTACTGTGGCCCATATTTTTTCTATGGGATTTAATTCGGGATGATATGGAGGTAATCGTAGAACTTTGTGTCCATGTTCTTCGAGAAAATCGTCTAAAAGAAATTTCGGTGGATGTTTGTAAAATGGTTGCATGAAAAACTTCTCCCAGGTTTAAGTGAGCCCAGCGTAATTATTTTAGACAATGCACCTTACAATTCCAAAGTATTAAACAAAAGTCCAACGAATTCTTGGAATGTTGATAAAATTAAAGAATGGTTGACAAAGGAACATATACCATTTCCTCAATATATATTAAAATCAGAATTATTACGCTTAGCAAATATACACGCAAAACCAAAAACCTTTGTTGTGGATCAGAATATTGAAAGTTACGGTCATCAAGTTTTACGTCTGCCACCGTATCATTGCCAGTTTAATCCCATCGAATATATATGGGGAAAAGCAAAACAATATTATGTCAACCATATTGGGCCTAATGATTATAGTGACGACGCAGTTCGGGAAACTTGGCGAAAAGCACTTTTAATTGCAACTCCAGAAGTGTGTCGGATCTGTATATCCAAGTGCAAGAAACTAATAGAAGATTGGTGGACTCGTGAAAATAAAATAAACGAAATAAGTCTAATCATAATAATAATTAATGGTGATGACAGTGACGATGATGATGATGATGACGATTATGATATTTTGGATGATAATGACTGATTTTCATTATTGTTCAATTTTGTTATTTTTCATTTGAAATTACATAGACCATATTGTCTGTGTAAAGTGTAATATAAAATTATTATTAGGTTTAAAATAGCCACATTAGACTCCATTAATGAAGAAGTTTAATTCTTCTCTCAATTATACAAAAGATTCTCCATTATTATTTAATTAAAAAGTTGTACATTATTTTTCATTTCATTTAACCAGTTGATATTTCCCCAAAGAACAGGTCAAACTTTCGGGTACTTACCTGGAAATACTCATAAAATTTTTAATCCGAAACCCGCGTAAGTATAGCGAACAGACTGTATTTATAATTTAGTAGTTTTATTTTTTAAGCATTTTAATAAAGGTATCTGTATACAAGGAATTTGTAATATCTTTATATTAAAATTAAAAAAAAGTGTTACTTACAGTTCTAATCTATCACCTAGAAATTTGCTCTTATCTTTGGTTAACGGATTATATAAATCATCAACTTCCAAATTTTTGGAGTACCCTTTTCTAAACATGGGAATTGTGTACCTAAAAAGTAAATGTTCATTTTATTTTCTCATAATATTTTTTTATTATGACAATTTTATTTATTGTTTGTGCTTTAATTATTTAAAAATCAAATAATAAAAAAATTATATTAGCATAAGGATATATTTCTTATTTCAATGAAGTTGATTGCATTTTGTTATTAATAAGTGATGATACCACAGTGTGTATTATCGATGTAGTATTTGGATTACCCGAAAATAAACTGTAAATAAAAATAAATAATATTTGAAAAAAAATGTAAATTTCGTCTAAATTTTAAAATTTGTTTTATTACTATTCAGTAACTGAAATTTTTCCCTAACCTATTTACTAATTATACTTACCCAAACATTAAAACTGAGAGGGGATTAGCTTTTTCCCTTGGATTGGGAAAATTTCTTTCTTTGGTAATTTCCATTGTTGCTGCCTTGGAATAAGACTTTTATTCGTATGCTTTTTCCTTGTTTTTCGAGTCGTTATTTCACATTATTTCTGTAACAAAATATGAATTGAGACTGTGAGTTTAAAATCTATCCGTAACTCATATTTTTATCAATTGTTACAAAAAAATATACGCAGACGTAGTGGTTTAACAGGAATATAACATTAAACTAAAATTTCGTAAGATTTTAATTATCTTAAGAATGCTGTTTCGAAATAAAAGATGTATGTCTTATTCATATCTTTATTTACTTTTTAATATTCAATTGTTAACATCCGATTAAAACAAAACAATATCTCATTTAATTAAACAAATAACAAATAAATAGAAAAGATGAATAAAAATATTTTTTTGTAATATAAACTAACTCTCACGCCACTGCACATCTTCATACAAGGTAAAACCAGGTCCGTTATGCGCAGCTAATGCAGGGAGAAAACCCAATAAGCCAACTACAAATATTTTTAATATAGGTCAATGGCGTGGTGTTTAGAAGGGGAAATATTAATATTTAAAAATATATATATATATATATATATACAATTTAACCACCCGGTTTCTAAAATTTTATTTCTATTTATACAAATTTTAATTAATAAATATATCTAATTTTGCTATTTCTTTCTCTTTTCAGCGCTTTAAAATCAACGTGTCGAATCGCTATTAGTCCGAAAAATGTAACGGGTAGGAGTATGTTGGAGTTGCTAGTATATACAATTTAACCCAGTTTTAAAATTAGTCTTTTTTTCGAGAAGCAACTCATGTTTGTCGACATTGCCTATGCCGATGGGACATACGCACAGAAAGATCTTTCTGTCTGTTGTATCGACATAGACGATGTGGTGTATTTGTAATCGTTTCTTTTGACAATAAAGACGTTTTATCTTCAGAAGTTTACACCTTCCGAATTTATTTTCTGTGGAAAAAGTACGATCGGAAAATGATTCTGCAGGATTTAGTTTTTCGAAGGTGTAAATTCTGCACAGATCGAATGGACAAGGCTGCAAAAATACTAGTCGGCGATGGTTTTAGGTTTATTATTAAACTCAAATGAATTTATTTGGAAAAAATCGTATTTTTTTAATATAAATCGACTTGTAAATAAATAGAAGTACAAGTATTTAATTTTTTAAGCGATATAGTTTTTTAAAATTTCTCGAATTTGTTTATTAACGAAAGCACTTGACATTATAAAAAAAATATCTGCTAATTTTAGCAATAGGAAATAACCTGTTTTTAATTTTTACTTTTAAGTCCTGTAACATAAAAATAGACGGTGTTAGGACATTTTTTTATTTAGCAAATCCTTTATTGTTAACGCTTTAAAATTTATATGCATCAAATATAATGTTGAAATTGTTTGAATACCAAGTAAAAAAAATTGAGTTTAATAACATCCTAGAGGCATTGAAGGCTTGCTATGAAACAGAATGAAACGTCGAGTATTGAGGTTAGAATGAAAGATCGTCGCCGGGCACAGAAGATTTCCGGAATTAACTATACCGGGTGACGCGAAAAAGTGGCTTTTGGACCCTTGGATTGGAAAGATGAGAGAACGATTGGAACATGGGACTTCGTTGACTTCAATTGGCGGTGAGTGTTTAATAATTTCTTATTTATACCTTTGATATAATTTTTGAATAAATAAATAAGTAAACTAGGTAAATAACTCACTATTTGTTTGCCTAGATATACCGGGTCATTCTATATGAGCGGAACACTTGAATTATGGCTTAACTATGACTTGTACGAAAATTTGACTTAGATAAAAGTTTTTGTACATTATATGTACTATTTATTGACGTTTACAGATTTCCCGCATACGTAATGATTTTCAAGATATGACGTCATCGGACAATATTTTAAATGGATCACCCTGTATTTTTTTTTTTTTCGAGTTCGTATGATCTGTCTGATTTCATCAATGGTACATTAAGTGGGTCCCAGACTTATTTAAAATATTGCCCGATGACGTCATATCTTGAAACCCATTACGTATGCGGGAAATCTGTAAACGTCAATAAATAGTACATAAAATGTACAAAAACTTTTATCTAAGTAAAATTATCGTACAAGTCATAGTAAAGCCATAAATCAAGTGTTCCGCTCATATAGAATGACCCGTTCCGCCCATATAGAATGACCCTGTATTTAAAATATACGCAATGTATATTATTATACATTAGAAAGGTACAAAAAATGATTCACAATATACATACATTTATACATACTTAAATTGCATATAATAATGATAAAAAACAATCAAGATGACTTGTTAGTCTTAAATATTTATATAGAGTAAATTATATAGCTATTATAAATAATTATACAGATATAAAAATAAACGGAATCATTTGTTTTTATCTATTGAATAACAAGCTATAAATCTCTAAATTTGAATAACTGATCATTATTATTATGTTGGTCGTACGTGAAAAATCACAAATGATGTCTGCTAAAATAAAGGCTGTAAATAAAGTCGTTACTTACAAATCGAAGATTTATTTTTAAGTATGAGACTGGATCATGTTGGAATTCGACAATGTGTGAATATTTCACTTCACTATAACAACTACATTCGGCGTTTGACACTATTTTCTACAAACCCAGATTATTCTTATTACTAGATGTTAACTTTTACATAACATTATTGTGAATGAACAACTTATATTATTCTTAATGAACAGGTAGGTATATCTCCGACCTTGGAGATGGTGTAATAGTAACACGATATGTTAATAAAGTAGAATCATGCGGTTTCCCATTTGATTTTGGTGATAAGTTCATTTTAATTATAATGAAAGGTTTATTTTTATTTGCCAAAAGCTTTAAATTTGATTTGAATATCAAATTTTTTATTAATTTGTCTATTTTATATCATTCATTTCTTAATTGCACTTTCCCATTATTACATCTTACAATTAAAAAAAATTAACCAACTTTTACTTACCGGAAATGTAAAACAATTTCTGAAATAAGTCAGTTAATTTTTTTCGTACTTATTTTTCCGGTCGGTGTATATTTAAATAATCTTTTCCCAGTGAACTGTATATTTGAAATGGAACACAAGTAAGCTAAATTGAATTTGTGCACTACGTCACAACGATACAGGTGAGATTGTGCGATGAGTGCCTTTGCAGGCCTATTTTGGCCATTTCATGTATTTATTTTTAAATTATGAGTATTTAATATTTTTGAAACTTAATAAGAAAAAAATCCAATTAACTCTTCTGTTATATTTTCCTAAAGGTGTGTCCTTAACATTAAGTAATAAATTTCACATTTTTTACCATATACGGGAATGTCAGAAAATAGAAATTAGGGCAATTACTTATTATTTTAAAATGTGGAAACAATTTATATGGAATTAGAGCTACCTAACTCATAAAACAAAATTGATATGCAATAAGTATTGACAGGTTTTATTATTTCTTATTGTAAGAATAACATACATTTGTAATAGATAAACCAATATAAATTTGGTAAAATTTAACTTCAGATAGTCTCAAGGCTTTTTAAAGAAGTATCTAATGGAGAGTGTTAAGCCTGAACGAGTTGAGTTGCCTTGAGTGTTATAGTGAAGTCAAGCTGTTAGTTGATTCTCACGCATTGTGTTCTATCGATAATAAATTGGTAACTAAATAATTATTTGACTTGATAATTAATAAAGTTAGATTCACTCACTAAAAGTACCACGGAAGTACATGGGGTTGACTATTCCTGTGAGTATTTCCAAGATTATTAATTCGTTAAATCTATCAGTTGATTGATTGTTAACATTGTTATTGGCCATATTGGCGATTGTCCTTTTTTGTGCTTTTCCTTAAATTTGTCAGTTGACTAATAATTGTTTGAAATTGTTATTGACGATATTGGTGGTATTTATTTGAAACACCATCGTTCTGTAGTGGAAAATAATTGTATGTAGCCGATAGAAATGGTATTTTCGTGTTAAAAAAAATGCCACTATGGAGCTTATTGTTTTAAAAAGAAACTTACCAACCATCTAGCTCTCGAATAACGAATAAATTAAATTAATTATTGATTTTAAAAGTTTTTTTTTTTTAATAAATTTATAATTGAACTGGGAGAAGCTTAGAAAAACAAAACGCAGAGAAACTTTAAACATTTATTGTTAATATCAATGGCTACTTGGGGATGTGGTATTAACTATTTTAATTTACTACAAGTGAAGTGTTTACTGTGGTAGTTTTATTTATCCATTTATATTTTATAGGTATCAAAATAGACATTATATTTTATTTAACGTAGGTAAATAAGATGTTTTCTCTTAGTTGATGAATTGAATCTCATTTAAATGTTTGTTCTCTTTAATTTTTGCTTATACGTTTATGAACTTGAATTGCTTATCGGCTTTAAAAACAATTAAAAATCCTAAATCTGGTAAAAATTTAAAGATACAAATATCTCCAATTGAATGCAATAATTTGCTTGAGAATTAAATAGGAGCTTCAGCTAATCTTTGCCTTCTTGATGCAATTGTTACTTATATTTGTATAATCAAAGACAATATTTAGTAATAAAATATTTTATGTGGGATTTATTTTATCTAACCTTGTATTTAAAAAATTCAAATTAGTTGTTTTTTTTTGTTAAAACTGTGTCAAATTGTGTTAAAATAACCCAGATTTGAAAATAATATTGTTGAATGCCGAGTAAAATCTAGGGAGCAATAGTTTGTATAAGATATGAAATTTTGTACTTATGCAATCATTTTGAATTTTCACATGTAACGTTTCTGGATAAGCTATGAAGATGACATAATTTAATGTTAAGTTTAGTAAATAATATTTACCCACTTTAATTTTAACTTCTTTGGAATAGTTCAAAAAACACACACACATTTTTCATAATATTAAAAATATAAATTCACAATTTTAATAACATTCGTTTCTCACTAAATATTTATTAAAAAACTTCGCACTGCAATAACTTTTAAATTAAGTATTAGTACGGAAATTAACTTACAAAATATTATAGAATACTCACTGCATGCTAACTAGAACGTCGCGCTTTAAGTGCGTTATAGCTTTGTTTCTAAAAAATAATAATTAATATACTTATACGAGTGTTATCAGTAATCTAGATAAAGTGTATACATGTGTGTTGTTGTATTATATAAAACTTATCTAAGTCTTATCAAAATGTGCTATTTGTTGAAACTATGATAATAAAAGGTTTTAATAATAATCTATAAAAAAACTGTAACGTGAATTTAAATTTTATATCAGCAATGTTCAACGACGAACAAAAACGAGATCAATTTTGTTTGTGTGGGGTCTTAATTAATTTAATATATCATCATAAATAAAAATTGCAAAATGTGTGAAAATATATTTTTTAATAAAAGGAACAAGACACGTAATGATGGCGATTCTAAAACTAACCAATCAAACATCTATAGTGACAGACCTAATACAACAATATTCCCTAATGAAAGTCAACTCAAGATAAGATGGAATAAAACAAGAAACTGTAGAGTTGCCAGGGAAAATTTGAATTAAACTGACAACAGCAAAATGACTAGACAGAATCTGCATCTAATTGCAGACATTGCCAAGTATGGAAGCATCTCCATTGCAAGAGACTCTCAGAAGATGCGAACAAGAAGATGAGACCATTGAGCATATCCTCTATGATTTTCCGACACTCTCATTTATTAGAAGATTTGTGTTCATATAAGAGAAGCACCTCTTGGCGACGTTGTCAACTACATTAAATCTGTAGGCTGGCCTATTGAGGCTTACGTGCCGTGGGTTAACCAACCCTCCACACGTTAAAGAAACAGAAACACTTCTATTTTCAACATAAACAAAAAATAATATGACAAAAACAATATTTATATTTAGATACCAAAATTTGGAATTTACTTGAACTTGTGCCTCTCGATATTAAGGTTGGTCTCTGTTTAAACAAGAAATAAAATAATATGCTATGAGATGTACATTAAAAATCTATAAAAAAATTGTTTAATCTATTTTTTTATAGTTAAAAGATATGAAAATTCATCGTGGTAGTATTGTTTCTAATACAGACCAGTGGCCGGTGGGTATATACGGTAACATGTAGATCTCGGAGTTTTTTTGGTTTTTCTTTTCAACTTGTTCAAAAATTAATCAAAAATTACACATCAGCGGCATCATTTTTCGGAAGCGAAAACGTATATGACGGTATCCGAGAACATTTTCCTGAATATACAGTAGATGCGAGACGGCAAAGTAGTTTATTTTTCTGAAATCACATTTAGAATCGACATATATATATATATATTTTTTATAATAAACAAGTATTTTAAAAAGACATTAAAAAATATACATTACAAAATTTGCTGTAATTACCTATTATCACCTATTACGTAAAATAGTACTCATAATAATTATTTTCTAGTACATTTAAAAAAACATTCATACATAGTTACATAGATACTTACAAAATTTCATTATATTATCTAAAAAATGCAATTCATTATGATTGGTTAAACAAATAAGATAAAATTCTTTGAAATAAACCTCACTTTTATCATTAAACAAATTAAACAAATGAATTTATTATTTCTTAATTTTTTAGATAAATTAACTTATTTTTTGCTACATTAAGAAATATGTTTTTGAAAAAAATGTGGGGTCCATTCGCACAAAATCTGAATTGTATTATTTTGTTTCGTGAATAATATAATTATTATATTTTAATATAAAATGTGCTTTTTTTATTATTTAGTTTTCGCAAAAGATTCTATAGAATCTTGCGTTCCTAAACGCTTATTTTTCCCATTAGCGCAAGGAAGTTCAATGTCTCATCATAAAAAAAATATTTTAAATAAAAGTTATATGATTTTTTATTGTATATTTATCAAAAATATATAGGGTATTCAGTTACAGCGAGACAACCTTAATGTCGATGATTTTAAATGACTCACCCTACCCATTTTTTTTTTATTTCTCAAGTCTTATAAACTGGCAACGCTGATACTATTCGTTTCCTACTGTAAAGCTTACAATAAGTAAAATATGTAGAAACAACAGAAATATCCAAATACAGTGCAACCTCGATAATCCGAACCCACGCTAATCCGAATTACGCTAATCCGAACGCAAATCGTGATGCGAGATAGTCCGAACGCCGTCTCTGTAATCCGAACGCTGACAGGAAAAGGCCTGCAGCACGGCCCGCGTCGCCCATATGTAGTTTGATAATGTATTTAAATGTACAAAAATCAATATACATACATAGATCTAAAGGTCTAAAAATGTGTAAGAGGTGTTTTATTGTATATTCGTTAATCCGAACAAGGTCTGACAATTAGGTGTTAAAGAGGTTGCACTGTAATAACATAAATACAATATTATTGTATTTTTTACTATTTATGATATAGGAAGAGGTGAAAAATGAAAAACAAAAGTTATAATACATCGTTTAATAAATTTATAAAATTATTAATACCTATGTCAGAGTATTTTTATAAATAACCTATAAATCTCACTACAGTTTGTAAAAATATATACCTACATTTTTTTTTTGTATGAATAAAATTTGTTTTATTTAACCGAAATAAACACAGCTTATTTGTATATATTTAATCAAAAAAATCTAAACAAAATATATAACTTTATTTGTAAATTTTAACTGTTTTGATTGTAAAAATATTTGGCATTTCGTCTCATAAAAAGTATATAAATGTAATGTGCCCACTGGTGCTGTGCTTTAGGATTCACACTCTTTAAACAGGATCTAGATTTGTCTTCAGAATTTCATCATAAAGCAAACGAAGAGAAGAAACATTCTACAGGCATTGCAAGAACAGTCTTCTAATGACATAAAAACGAGTGTAAGTTACAGAGAGTGCTATTTGTACGAACCGATCGCGTTGAAACGTTGGCCAGGCTGTGTAGGCAGGTATGCTTGCCTCAGTTCTTTGTAGTTTTCACACGCACTTGTGCCAAGGGTTATTGGAAGATGTTCGATGGTCAATACTGTATATAAATCAATTAGGCCAAGGCTTGTTTTAAAATAGACTAGTCCTAAAAGTATGAACAATTTTTTTTATAAATTTGTTAAGAAGGACTTAATAAATGAATATGGTTTCTTTAAAAATGCTGATATATTTATATTTTCTAAGAAATAAAAATAAAAAACTATTTGCTTTTAAACTCGTGCAAAATTTTGCTAATTTCATTGTATATATATTTAATACAACGTTGCCACATTTGAATTAACTTTAGTTGTGCTTAAAAACCATAATCTCATTATAAAATGTCAAGTTGTTGTAAATTAAAGGTTACCCAACAAACATTGACGTTGTGGCAAGATGTTGATCTTTTGAGGAATGCGATGACAAAGTTTTTTTTTTATTTTTTGTCAGTCAAAATAAGATTCCAGACCTTTTGGATTTCTTTATTTTGAGGAAAATTTCACCAAACTATACACAAGTAGAAGAAAACTTTGATATGGATTCAGACCATTCTGCAGTAATCCTTACTCTAAGTGATAATCTAAGATAAGCCAAACCGACTCTAACAAATCGGAAAACTAATTGGGAAGGTTTTCAAGAGGACTTAACAAATACTATTCAACTGACCATAACACTAAAAACGAAAAAACAGCTAGATGGAGAACTGGAAAGGTTTATAGTTGAAATCCAGCAAGCTGCATGGAGGAACACACCAAAAGTAAGAAGATTAACAGTTGGAAAAACCTATCCTGTCGAGATAAGAGAACTAGTAGCAGAAAAAAGCAAACTAAGAAAGAAATGGCAGATGACAAGCGTTGCAATTACTGGATAACTCTACACTCAACAGAAGGCTCAAAAGGAAGAAGCCGTTTGAGCTAGTGCAGTGAACATTAATGTTAGTGCTAGTGTAAAACAGTGTAATAAATCGTTACGCCAACTTGTGATGCTTTCCTATAGATGACAATGTAACTTGAAATGGTACAATCGTTAGGTATTGCAATATCGCTTCATGGCCGCCTTTTTTGTTGGTGTCACGACATCGACCACATCTACCACATTTTTTTAATTTGGAATAATTTTAAATGATTAAATATTCTTACTTCAAAAAAAATTGAGAAAACTATTGTTCCTGCTTACTCAACCTTCCCTTCAAGCAACCTTTTCCAGTCGTATCACAGCATTTTCAGTTTTTCAACTTTTTTATTATTAATAGAATTATTTTCTCTCTATTAGCCTTACTTATTTACTTTCTTAAGTCTATGGAGCCTGCCATCCTTTGTACCCTATTTTCCTTACAGTTCTTACAATAATTATCTAATAGTTACAACAAAAGTAAAAAATCTAAAAATTACATAAGACCCAACCGTGAAACATCGAATAAATAAATTTCAAAGACAAAACATGGATACATCATAAAATAGTAAAACGAAGAAAAGGAAATGAAGATATTAACCTCATGGCATCCTTGATAATAATAGGTATTTTAAGGCCACAAATCATGATGTATTTTAAGTCACACTATTAAAAAAAACGTACTCCTTTTTAGAATACATCAAATATGAATCTTAAGTAAAGGAAGTATAGAGGAAAAGGTGCAAATATGGAATATGCATGTAATATGGAATACCTCGGTTTTGTCTAAACCAAATGCCGCCCCCTATCGAAAACCGGCTAAACTTATGTTTGTTTGCCATCTTTATTGTAGGCGATCTACCCCGCACCGTTTTAGTATGGTTTTGGTTATTGAGGTGTGCACATGTGAATATTTGTTACGATGCCACGAGTCCAAATTTTACGGGCTCACAATGACAGATCTGAAGCGCATGGCTTATCAGTTGGCCATAAGGAATAAAATCAAACACCCATTTTCTACATCTGGATTAGCAGGCAGGGACTGGATTGATTTAAAGCGACATCCAAAATTGTCAATAAATAAGCCAACGGGGACATCATTTGCCAAAGCTGCAGGTTTTTGTAAAGAAAGAGTTGCCGGCTTTTTTGACCTCCTTGAAAAGCAAATGTCCTATTCCCCGAACAACGTTTATAATGTAGACGAATCAGGGTTAACAATTGTCCAAAGTAAAGTATCGTCAGTAATAGGGCTGAAAGGCAAACGTTGCTTCATTAACATCAGCAGAGAGAAGGGCTCTAATTACAGTTATTATTTGTATGAGTGCGGCTGGAAACTTTGTCCCTCCTTTGGTTATTTTTCCTAGGAAAAATATGAACATTCAGCTCATGAAGGGAGCTCCTCCTGGGTCCGTAGGAATTGCATATCCATCCGGTTGGGTACAGTCCCATATTTTTACCAAGTGGTTCCGTCACTTTATCCAGTACACTAAACCAACTAAAGAAACCCCCTCCTGTTAATCCTTGACGGCCATTACAGCCACACTCGCAATATCGACGTTATCGACCTTGCAAGGGAAAACCATGTTAACATTTGTATTTAGATCCGTCAAAACCAACGGGCTCTTAGTCCTTTTGATATAATGGAGTTATTTGGTAGAGCTTACGAAAAAGTTCATACATACACAATAGCGGCTAATGGTTTTCGCACCACTGGTATCTGTATCTGTAACGTGTGGAGGGTGGGTTACCACCACGGCACTTAGGCCTTATTAAGCCCATTGTGCATCCTCCTAAGATGATAGGCACCTCCTAGCTCGTCAGCCAGCCTACAGATTTAATGTAGTTGACAACGTCGCCAAGAGGTACTTCTCTTATATCTGCCGGTGTTAGCCGATACTCGCCGAACACAAATCTAATAAATGAGAGCGTCGGGCAATCGTTAAGAATATGCTCTATGGTCTCATCTTCTTGTTCGCACCCTCTGCAGAGTGCGGATTCTGATAGCCCCATGATATGGAGATGCTTCCGTACTTGGCAATGACCAGTCAGAATGCCTGTGACCAGACGCAGATTCTGTCAAGTATTTCTTTGCTGCAGTGTTGTCATGATAACTTAAGAGCTCCCTGGCAACTCTGCAGTTTCTTGTTTCATCCCATCTTTCCTTGAATTTCACAAGGGAATGTTCTTTAATTAGGTCTGTCACTACCGATTTTGTCAGGCCAATAGAAGGGCCAGGTCCAAAAAGTATTTGGTGCACCACTGGTATTTACCCTTTTAACAGGAATGTTTTTTCCGAAACTGACTTCTTTGCTGCGGAACAAGAAGCAGCGAAAAGAGGAATTACCATTAACATTCAAAAAGTCAAAACAACAAAAGCTTCTACTACCCATATCGATAAACCTTCATGCTCTAAAACGTCATGCGAAGACAATGCTCCTGACCAAGACCAAGATGAAGATGACCAAGGCCAAGATAAAGACGTAGATTCAACCCAGAAGTTTGTTTAACCGTTCGAAATATCTCCAGTCCCAAACACAATCCGCAAAGAAACCAACAGAGGACGCAAGACAATTGTGATTACTTCGTCACCTTACAAAGACGAACTAAATGAGTTAATAAATAAAGAACAGAAATGGCAAAATCGCGTAGCGTTAAAAGAAACTTGTCTTCAGGAAAATCCTTGAAACAAAAAAAAGATTCTCAAAAACAGTCAAAGTACAAAATGAAACGTCAAAAGAATGCAGTTTCTGCTGATGAATCTGAGGATTCAAGCGAAGATGTAAAAATTGACGATTCTGACAACTATTTGGAAGAATGAGGACGATGCTCATTGCATGTTTTGTGATAGTTCGTTTTCTGCTGATAAGAAAGGAGAACTATGGGTCGAATGTTTAATGTGCTTAAAATGGGCCCATAATGAGTGTGGAGGCGCCGAAAAAGACGAATATATTTATGACTGGTGCATGTAATATGTATATATAAAGTATTCCATATTTCCCCCACCTTTTCTAAGGTGGGAATTTTGTAGTTTTTTTTTCTAACTTGTTTCTGAAAAAGTGTTTAAGATAATTACAAATTTGCTTTTACATTTTGGTGTCTAATTGTTTAAAGTACCTTTTCCCTAAATTTGGCTTAAATCTATTCACTAACAAAAAATTTTTTATATACCAAACAAAACGGTATTCCATATTTGCACCTTTTCCTCTAAAGTTACAGGCTAGTTAAATAATTGTCAAAATATTAACAAAATATCTGCTTCTTGTAAATAAATCTCCAATTTGTACAATTAGAAAAAATAGATACATAAAACTACATTTTGTAACGTACAATATTTTTTCTAATTTTGACTGGATTATTTATAAAATTGTGTTTTGGTAAAACATTTTTGACATCTAGGCAACCAATATTACTTTCTTGTATTATTAGTTGCCTATGATTAACTTCATTATTTTATTCACAAATAGAAAATTATATTCATGTATTCTCAACGACTTACTGTAGTTTGTTTTTATTGAGCTCTGTGAAGCTGGCCCCCCGAAATTCGAAAATTAGAAGCTTCATTGTGTTTGACCACCTATTGTCTATGTTTGACCACCAACTCTTTTTGACCCACAGCCTGTTGGCGTCTCAAAGTTAATATTTTTTAAAATTGACTGTACCATAAGATTCATCATCAATTTTTAACCCAGTCAAATGACCCCAGAGGTGTTAAAAATATTTCTCAATCTAATTTCTAGTTCAACAAAATGGTCAATCGACATAAAAACAAAATAAAGATCCATAATTATTTAAAATTATGAATTGATGTTTGACCACACTCTCAAATAATTTTAATGTGCCTAAATAGTGTGGAAATTCGAATAATTCGATTTGAAAATCAATAATATGCAATTGGTAATTCATTTAGACACTTGCTGCAATTACAAAAAATTTTACTTTACATGTCAAAATTAGAAAAAATTAATTTATATAATTTAAGAACTTTTTGAGCCATATCCCAGACAAAACAAATATGTCCATTGGACATTCATTCGATATACATTTTTGGATATACGTAAGTCCAAAAAAAGTTTTATTTTTTTTTTGTTTTCACAACTGAATGAATTTTTCGAAACCAGTTTCATAATGTTCAACATTATGCAACTGGTTGCGAAAAATGGACGTCCATTGGACTGTATGTGCTGTCTGGGAATTATTACTACTAACTATAAAAATATAAAATTACTGTCAACCATAATTATTTAAAAAACAGAAGGACTTATTTAGATAGCACACAGAGATCGTATCAAAAATTGTTTTAATTGATCACTCACATTTCGTATTTAACTTAAAACTACGCACATAACTGAATTTATTCGGGAAGAGGAGGATGCCTTTGATGACTCTCTTTTGCTATTTTTCGTAATTGTTCATTAAGACCCCTTCCCGTTTCTGCTACCATTTTGTTAAATACTCCATTTGAAATTTGAAGAAGTACGTGAGGATGGTCGTACTCCACCATGGTGCCGGAGTCCATCACTAATACTTTGTCGGAGTCCATAATGGTGTTTAGTCTGTGGGCCACTGTAAGTACTGTGCAGTTTGCGAATTTTCTTCGGATTGTTTTTTGTATCAAAGCATCAGTCCTAAAAAAAGAAATTAAAAATTACACAGGATCTCTCAGAGTAAAATATAAAGTTTTCCCGATATAGCAAACGATGTAGAAACCATAGTTAAAATCCCGGTAAAATGTAGCCCATTTGGGTCCTCATTTGTGCTTAAACTTTTTTATTTTTATCAACAAACACCACTTACTGAGGATCTACGTTAGCTGTGGCTTCATCCAACATCAGAATTTTATTATTCCTAATAATAGCTCTGGCCAAACAAATGAGTTGCCTTTGACCGACGCTATAGTTGCTACCTCTATCCATGACTTTGTTCTCCAATCTGTTAATAACATTTGAAGGATCTTTCAACTCAACATCTTCTAGTGCTTTGTACAATACGTCGTCTGTATATTCTTCGAATGGATCCAGATTGTATCTTAAAGTACCTGAAAAGAGAACGGGATCTTGTGGGATAATGGAGATTTTTGATCTGAGGTCTTCAAGAGTGATGTCTTTGGTGTTAACGTCGTCCATCTTGATTGCTCCTTCTATTGTTGCTAGTCGAAACAAAGCTGAAATTAATGATGATTTTCCTGCCCCTGTTCTGCCAACAATTCCAACCTGAAAGTAAGAAAGGTGTATAATGAAAATTATATACATGAATTTAAGAGAGATATAATGATATATAAATTATGTTGGTACAATGTCAAAGTGAACGGCATAAGGATGATTGAACATAATAAATGGCGCCAAACGTGGGGCAATACAATAAAAAAGTGGGGTTCTAAAGTAAAACACGTGGAGCACTAAAATAAAATGTGGGACACTAAAAAGAAATTGGAGGTTATAAATAAAGGAATGCTAAAACGTGTTTTTTTTTAAATAAAAGTAACATAAAAACGAAAGTGAAATTAAAAAAAGAGGAAGTGAGTAAATTGGGATAATAGTGATAAAATATAATAAATAAAAATTATAAAAGTACATATAAAAAAGGGAAATAAACTGATATAATTGAAGGAGAAGAAAATCTAGAAGAGTATTTATTTGAAGGAGAGGAAAAGGAAGTAGAAGGAAACAATGGGAGAGCATGGACAACAAGATAAGAAGTATAGAAAAACAAGATTTTAAAGAGCTGATGGATGATGAGAACCATAAAAAAACGCAAGAAGAATAGATACAATAGAAAAAGATTACCAAGTCTGAAAAGAAGATAAATGAAGACAATAGATATGTTTAATGTGATAATGAAGCAAATGGATGAAATAGTAAGAAAATAAATGTAATATAGAAAGAAACATTAAAAAAAATAGGAGATCTAAAAACATACAAGGAGGAGAAAATGGAAGTAACAAGACAAAATATAAGAGGAAAGACAATATAAATTGCAAGATGAGAAATTGGAAATATTTGCTGAAAAATATAAAGAATTTAATTTAGAGATAAAAGAAAATTAAATAAACGAACAGGACATTAGAAAAAATGACAACATTGGAGAACAAAATATGAAAGAGTTAGAAGAAAGTCAATGCAAAATCAACAAAAATGAGATCAAAGAATGAAAAAAAATTAAATATTTAAAGAGTTGGAAATTAATTCAAATAAGAAAAGAAGGAAACTAAGGGTTATAGTCTGAATTAAACACCAAACCTACATTGGTGTGCCGTGGTTTGATGCACCCTTCAAAATAAAAGCACACATCTCCTACAACAATTTTAGTTAAATGTTTTGTTTACTAACCTTTTCATTTGGTTTGATTACCAAATTCAAATTCTTCAATGTCAACGGACCATTTTCAACGTACTTTAAACCCATGTTCTCAAAAACGACTTTCCCTTTTTCAGGCCAGCCTTTAGGAGGCTTTTGTGGAATTTCTGGTTGCTTCTCGCTAGGTAAATTTTTATATTCCAGTACTCTTTCCATACTCATGAGTTGGTTTGTAACTTCAGCCGATTGGCGCACACCCCATTGGACCAGGCCAGTAAGAGCGGTAGCTTGGGTTATTGCTAGACCGACTTCTCCACCTCGCATACCCATATCTGAAATAGTTATGTAATTTACAGGTCAAGAACAAAGCATAAGTCGTACTTTTGAGCCACTCTATATGTAGATACTTACTTTCTCCAAAAGTTAGGAAGCTAAACGTGATGACACCTACAAATATAAAACAAAAGATGTCTAGGTAGAAGCCGAATGCTGAACTTGCTGATATGTACATAAACCAAGCGCTAGTGTGAGAATCTTGATGTTTATCGAATTCTCTCATCAATATATGTTCGGCTCCGAATGACCTTATTGTGGTCAATCCTTGAAGCGTAGCATTTAGATGGGTGAAAACTGGACTCCGCACTAAAAAAAAAGAAACCAAATATAATAATTAAACATAGAGTTTCCTCGAAAGGATTTTCTATTTTAATACAAAGATTAATTGATGTATGAAGTTTAAAAATCCAAACGTGCTTACTCATTCCTTCCAATCTTTTAATATTCTTTGACGACTTCAGGTATATGTGTCTAACGAATAAGAACAAGACTCCGATAAAAGCAACCAAAATTATGAAGTACGAGTTAACGATGGTTATTAAAACTGCAGATCCCACCATAACGAGAAGTATCTGTAAAAATAAATAAATTGATACAGTAGTAAATACAGTCAAAGAAAAATCAGATAATAAACACTAACAGAGGAAGGTGTAACCGCTAGGAAGTGGGAATAAAGATAGTGACTTTAATGCTGCATATTATGAATTAAGACGTCGGCGGCGCTATGAAAAATAGTGTTTGATTGACATACTTATTACTTTAACATAGTTTTGTTGATAAGGTTTTTTTTTTTTGAAAGTACAGACATTGCAAATCTTGTTTTTAGACTATGATATAGCTTGTAAAATGTGTCTTAAGTAGGTACCTGTCCTGCATCCAAGATAGCCTTTGGCAACCACTCGTCGACTGCTCCAATGTCTTTGGAGAACCTATTCAATATTCTTCCGCTTGGATTGGTGTCAAAAAATCTCATCGGAGCTGCTATAACGCTTTTGAACATTATATCGTGTAATTTTTGAGAACTCCACATCGCTAATTTGTAGAATAGCATGGATCTAGTAAAAGCAACGCACCAAAGAAGAGCTAGACCACCTAAAAAGAAACATATAAAATGTAAAAAGTAGATAAAATTTTAATAATAAAAAATGCTTAACAATATCGAATTTATTTGTAAAAAAAGTTTAAAAATCTATATAAAAAAAGGCATTTTTGTACCACAAAATTAAGTATGTTTAAAAAATTACTTTTATTTTAAAAAATTATTAAAAATTACCAGCAAAATATTTTATATGTAAGTAGGGTATGTAAGAAAAAAATTAAATAACAGAAAAACAATTTTAAATATACAAAATTTAAGTTAAAAAGTATCTAAAAAAGTAAAAATGAAAAATCTACCAAAAAAAATCGTTCATAAAAATCGCCAGTATTACTCAAATTTTAAAACGTTTAATATTTAGCAAATTTTAAACAATTTAGAAATGAAGTATATTGTAAAATAAAAATTGTGTTTTTTTAATCAAATAACAATTCAAATTACAAAATTTCACCCTCTATTGCAAAGTTAAAACTAAATTTAAGTTTTTGACTCTTGTAAGTGATCCACACATGGAAGGAATTTCGTCTGTCCAACTAATACGAATGTAACGATCAATGAAATTCTCAAGATCAGAAATGAAATGTTTTTATGAAATAGAGATGTTTGTCTATAATAACACCAAAAAATACAGATAACAAGCCATAAATAATATTAATTTCCCATAATAATGACTCGAAAACTATTAGCATCATCGGCCTATTGCGTTATTTTGTTCTTATATCACTGATTTTTTCATTATTAGTTAACATAATCTTTCTAATAGCAGTTTCAATGTTTTATTTAAAGATAGTTTACTTTAAATATAGCCATGCTGCTTTTGGCAGTCCCTCATTTTTAAACTTTATTTTTAATAAAAAAAATATATATACGCATAGATAAAGGTTAAATATATGCAGTCTCTTTTCCAAAATTTGATTTTTATTTTAAAAATCGCATAATTTCTTTTTTTTTATAATGGTTTTCTTGATATTTTTAGAAAAAAAAAACTATTAAAAATAGGCTTTTAAAGTGGGGCTATTTTTCGTATTAGAGACAACTGTCAAAGTAGATAATCCTATAAATCTGGTTAGGCAATTAATATATTTAACGCATCCTCTTTATTTAAATAAAGATTTTGACAAGTCAATTTAATAAATTTTGGTAACAAATAAATAACTCTTTGATATTTGATATTCAGAAACAGAAGTATTGATCACTCCAATATTTTATTCTAGTATATAAAAAATTAAGTACCTACCTGAATAAATGTAAAGACAAGTTTCCGTCGACCAATTAACGCTAGATGTAACACTAACAACATCATCAGTTTTATTCTGGGCAACAGAAACATTCCTGGCTTCTTCAATATTCACCCAATAACTCACGAAATAATCCACACCGCTAGCCGTTAGTTGCGAAAGAAGATATAACAGCAAAACAAACGACACAAAGACTATGTTCGCGCCGTGAATAAGGTACAACCAGAGCAAAGAACCTTTAATTTTCCCTTTGGAAGATTCTTCTTGCAAGTCTATCAATTTTACTTCCGGATTTTCTTCGTCGTCATCAGATAGATTAGCTTCTTGAAGGAGGGCATCGGATATGCTGAGCTCACTGACAGCGCTCGCTAGAGACGATTGTCGGCTCTAAAAAAATAAAGTAATATTAGTAGGAGAAGTTTAACCATACATGAAAAAAACTTTCAGAGTCATTTACTACACCATTACAGTAGTATAGAGGATATCTGTTAGATATCTAGTGTTATATGATCATAGCACTATTCAAAATAACCAATATTCCTACCCAAATAGTGGCAACATACTTCAAAAACTTTATATTCTATTTTATTATAAATATAAAATAAATTAATATTCGGATCAAGAAGAAAGAGCAAGTACCCTTTACTAATTGTACAGTACGCATTCATTTATTTCCTTATGTTGTCAACAAATACCTCTGTAATGATTTACACTCTTATCATATCAAGTATTATTAAAAAGCATCTCTTCCATAATTTACAAGCGTTTAGCAGCTGCTTTTTATTGAAATAAAAGCAAAATACATCGAATAAACAATTTATTTCTCAAGGCTTCATGGATGATAGATCATTTGAATGCTAATCCGATTATTAAAATCACTGGTTTATAATAATAATAATAATAATAATAATAATAATAATAATAATAATAATAATAATAATAATTCGATTATGCGCATCACTAACTTAAATACGACCAGAGCCACGGATTCTGGTCGGCGGGTGGACTGAACGGGTGGGCGGGGCGTCACAATTGCCATTGATAGATTTTCGGTCGGACGGCTGGCCTATCATTGCAGTGTGCGAGTAGTGTAGTGTACATAAACAATAACAGACAATCGCACACGTAAATGAAAACCTTTTATTAGGAAAAACAGACAAAATTCAATTTGACTCGACTAAAAAATATCAACACGCACACACATACGCACACGGACTGTTCTAGTTCTTACTTCGAAAACTTTGTTGATAATATTGGTAACTAAGGGCTCCAGGATTTTAGACCAATAATATTTTAATATACCAAAGTCGGATGTCCTTCGTCATATTAAATTTAAAAATATATGTTTCGTTTTTTTTTCCACTCATTTCTCTTGAGTTTTTTTTACAATAGAAGCCAGACAAATTTAGTCAATGAAGTGTTTTTAATCTTTATCTTTAATCTGTAAAAATTTTCTTTTAACACGCAAAGCGCAATATTATCAGGTTCAGATATAATACAGATATACATTCAATTTATAAACTTACCACGACTGATCTTTTTCGACTAACTTTGGCTACTTCCAACAATTTCTGTCTCTCCTCCTCAGTAGTATCTGGTTCTGATGTTAACAATTTCGCATACAAATTATCACTTGAAGATAGTTCCTTAAAAGATCCTTCATTTTCAATGTAACCCTAAAAATATTAAATATCACAAATAAAAACCGAAAAAAAAAAGAAAACAAATAAGACTTACGTTGTTTAGTATAACAATATGATCGGCATCTTTCAAATGATGCACCTGATGGGTGACCAAAATCCTCGTCTTATTAGCCAAATACCCATTAATGCATTTATCGAATAAATGTTTGGAGACGTGAATATCGACAGCTGATAAAGGATCGTCTAGTAAATAAATATCAGAATCCCTGTACAAAGCTCTGGCCAAATTGATTCTAGCTTTCTGTCCACCGCTCAAAGAAGCTCCTCTTTCTCCCACTATCGTCAAATCTCCTTGGGCAAATTGTTTAAAATCTTTCTCCAATGCACAAGCTTTCACTACATCATTGTAACGTTTTTTATCGTACTCTGCTCCGAAGGTTATATTCTGTCTCATTGACGATGCAAACACCCACGGTTCCTGAGAAGCATAAGATATGGTCCCATTAACCTCTATACTTCCAGCTTTTACTTCAAGCTCTCCCAAAATAGTTTGGAGCAAAGAACTTTTCCCAGAACCTACAGGTCCTATTATTCCAACCAGCTGTCCTTTGTTGGCATCGAAATTGATCTTCTTCAGAACGTTTTCTTTCGAGTTTACGTTCCATTTTACTGTGAGATCCTTTAAGCTCACCAATGTTTTGTTAAAAAATATTTTATCGTTGTTATTTTGAGTTTTGACTACTGCACGGTACTCTTCGTTTAAAAGGAATTCCTCGACTCTTCGTATGGCTACTATTAGTTCTGCTATTTCCGCGATGCCGCGAACAAACATGGTTGACATCGATTGGGATAGAATATTGAAATATGACATGAATACAAAAACCTAAAAAAAAAAAAACGATTCAGAAATTCTATAAGAATGTATTAGTTATTTATGATATAAAGTTTCATATTACGATACGCGATGGAAATATTGTCAAACGAGGCCGAAGGCCTATTCTGATAATGGGAGAAGTGGGAGAAATTCTCCTAATTTAACAATCAAGCTAGAAGTCAGAATGAACAGGCATTGTACAATGCTTGGATACAGGAAAAAGCTGAAAAACAGCAACTGGAAAGTGCATTGCAACAAATGCAAAACAATATGGAAAATATGCAAAAATAAATTAATATTTTAAACAAAGAAAAACCTAAAATTCCAACGAATTATGAAACTGATGAAGAAGAACTGGCAAAAGAAATCAGCGATCAAATTAACAAAGAAGTAGAATGGATAACAGCGGAAAGCAAAAACAATAGAAGAAAAAAACGAAACGCCAACTCCTCTCCTGGCCAACCTGGAGGTAGAAAAAATCAACAAAAAGAGAAAGAAACAGCCGAAAAAAACAGTGAAATTTCCCCCGACAATACAACATCAATAAGTATGAAGAATTGCGCCATACACTGGCAGAAAATAATATTTAAAATTAACCTTGAATGCCAAAGAAATAAATTGGCATTCCTATGAAATTAAACAGAACAGAGACATTAAAGTAATGGTTAGAGGTCTACCATCTACATCTAAACCAGAAGATATTGTTGAAGACTTGCAAAGTCAAGTCTATCCAAACGTTGACATTTCTGAAGCCACTAAAAGTAGGTAGTACTGAAATTCTTTGAAAATTTTAATCTTTTTGTAGGTGTAATTAATAATTAGTGTTTTTGGAACTTGTCGCAGAGAAACTCAATTTGAAAGTAAATGATATTGTTGATGAGGAGACGTTTATTAAGATTGAAATTTCAAATACTAAAATGGAAAGTGTACTTCACAACCTGTAGGAGTTAACACTTTTGGGCGCATTCCAAAAGAAGTTGCTGCTTTTCTAAAATTGACAAATCCAGAGGGATATACCGGGCACTGTTTCCGAAGATCCCTCCGCGTCCCTTCTTGCTGATGCTGGTGCAGATATGCACACTTTAAAAAGACACGGAAGGTGGAAGTCCACTTCTGTAGCTGAAGGCTATGTAGAAAGATCTATGGAAAATAAGAGAATAATAGCTAGTAAAATCATGGGAAAACAGATTATTTCCATTGAAACCGTCGTTGAAAACATTGGTAAATCTGTTAAGTCTGTACCGGCAGAAAAGCAGAATATTACCACTGAAACGACTGTTGAGAATATCAGTATATCTCTAGCATCTACATCTGCAGGACTAAATATTACCAACTGCAAAGATTTTGTTATTAATATTTACAATATTATTTTATGTAAGTTTATGTTGGCCAATTTATAATAAAACAATTTGGAAAAAAGTAATTTAATATTTTGTAAATAAAACTATTTTCCAAAAATAGGTCACCTGATGTTATATAATGTAAAAAGCAACATATTGGGAATTCCGATTGTGGAATCCTTATCATTTTAAATCTTTATTTGTCATTTATTAAACAGCTTCATTAATGTCACTTGTAATTTGAGTTGCCTATTAGTAGATTCAAATCAAAGACATTTTGTAATGTATTTGATTAAAATATATTTCCGCGTATTTTTGAGACCGAATCACGATTGTAGATTCGTACGATGAAAAGTCCTTTGAAAAGGTCAGTACGAAATAAACCGTTTGGAAGACCGGTAACTTTAAATGTGTACTTCAAACCGTTCTTATCAGTAAAAATCAGAACAAAACCTGTGGTAGGAAAAAAGCCTGGATCACCCTTGGATACCGGAATTAACGGAATTAAGGACAGCTCTCACGTCACCCCCTAGATGTACCATGGGTAAGTGATTTGGTCTCAAGCGTTTTTTCATAACCTTTTGATTCTTTTTTTATTCATTTTTTAACTGATATTTAATAGAACAATTTTTCTCTGCCTGCTGTTTAGGCTATCAACTGTTCCTACTTGCGGGAACGTACACCGATACTTTACCTACTTTACCGCACTAGTGCGATAAAGTACGTGATTACGAAATTCAAGTAACAACTGTAAAGTTTGACATTACATATTGATAGTAGATAAAATAGTTTTAGTAACTTACTTTGGTCGCTGTAATTTCTTGTTTGGTAAGTACCATGGTTAAAAGAGTCGAAAACAGGGCAACTCTGGTGGTAAAAAGATTAAATGTCATAAAGAGGCCCCTAACGTATGAAGATTTTGTTATTATTTTCAATTCTGCTTTCCTGGCAATGTTGATTATTTTTTCAAACGGTTTTTCCCAGGCGTACATTTTGATAACTTGTACACCTGAGATGACTTCGTCCATCAGTCTTACTCTTTCATCTGTTCTTAATGCAGTTTGTTTCCTGTAGATGGCGGATAATTTTCCAGTATACGCTAAAATTTTGATTTTGTCACCTTATATATTATCGTTTAATTTAGAAATCTACTTACACTGTAACGGAACAACTATAAAAACCGTCAAAATTCCCAAAATTCCGGCATATCCAGCTTCTTTATATAGGAAATACATGATGAATAGTGCAGAAATCGGAGCAATCCACATATGATGAATGAAAATAGAAACTAGGTCAAATCGGCTTACATCATTGGATAATAAATTAACTATTTTCCCTGAAGCTGTTTCTCCAAGGGCAGTTTTACTCAGTCGAATAGCCTAAAAAGTAAATTATTATACTCTTTACACAGTAGTCTGTGAAGGGTAGTGTTGCCACCTGTCCTTTTTTGAAGCAAAATGTCCTTTTTTATAACATATGTCCTGTTTTACTATTTGATATCTTTGAAAGGGACCTGGGGCTTGTACAAAAATATACAAGTTGAGAAGCTTTTTTTTTAGAAGGATGAGGCCCTTTTGTATACAGGATCCCCTATCAGCATCATAGTCCTTTATTTACTTTCAAGAAATCAAAATTTTTAATATTGATAGAAATTTAAAAATCAAAATGCTTTTCATCAAATTTTAAACAACTTTCCGTCCACACGATAAGTCAAAAACAAAAATCGATATCAACTTGAAAGTTTCAGGAAAAATCAAGCTCTATAAAGGAATGACATCTATTGATTCTGAAAAATATGTGGAAAACTGAAAATCTATAGCAACTTGTCAACAAAATGAAGAAAGTTTATCCACAAGAATTTAAGGGGTGAGGTTAATATAGTGATTTAATTAATGGAACATGGAGCAACTGTAGTTACTCTGATTCAAATTAAAATTAGACCAATGTCATATTTTGAGTATTTATAAAAATATTTAAATAAGGAAAGTCCCAAAACTGATCTCTGAGGTCCCTCAACTTACTTTTCTGTAAATAACGGCACACACGGCCGCCCTCACTTTCATGCCATAGTGAAAAGCGTTCATAATATACTGATTGATCAGCAATACAATGAGGCCGTTTATAATAACTAGAGCACCAGCGTACCATAGAGCGTCAGTCTTTGAAGTCGTTGTGTTTGGCTTGAAATAAGTCAACAGGTGGCCCAACATGATTGGTTGCGTTAATTGAAGGAACAGATTTATCACAGTTAATATTAATCCTAGGTATAAGTACTCTGGCCAAAATGTGGCTATTAGGGCTTTCAGCAGACTGGGTTTTTTGGTTTTGTTGCATTTTTTTAAGTGTTTGTTCCATTTCCTGAAACAAGAAATAAAATATTTGATACATACATACAAACATAAATATTACTGCGAAGACCGAACCTTCTGGCCTGCTTTGCTTGCGTACAGTTAACTCAATTTTAGGCATTTCTGGACATCCTCACCTATCGACAGCTGAATATAAACTATTTTCTAACTTAACCAAAAAACTTCACTTGTCTCTTGTCTTTATATTGTCATACTAAAACCACATGTATTAGTAAAGTATTTTTAACATCTTTCTTCAGTTTTTACCCCATCCTCAACAACTTTAACATTATTTTTGAAAGAAAGTCTTCAATTAAAAGAAAATACTTCATATACATTTTTAAATCAGTTCAATCAACCCTCGTACAAATCGTCTTCCTTACAAGTAAACTTTCAAGAGCTTGTGAAGCCTGTCAGATAATATAAATCCAGTGAAGCCCTTGCCATTGAATGAAAAGGCATTAAAACCGTTTATGAAGTTCTTTCACTTAATCTACAAAACAAATCTGCTGTCTGTTGCCTTCAATTTCACAAGTAGTCACTTGGAAATTATGTCAAGATCTTGGCTGGTGATTGCAGATTTTCCACGAAGCATGACATTAGATCATTAACGCGTCAGGTAGTATTATAACTCAAGTATATACGGAGGTAGGTAATTAATGAATGCAGATTTGAAAACCACTTAATAAGAAGAGAGGACTTTTTAAGATTTTTTCTATCTCAGAAACAACTTGATTGGGATAAGTATAGGTATAGGTTTTTAATAAATAATAAATTAATTGGTATTTTCATCAAATGTATGTAAAATATGCGTATTCAATAATCCTGGTTATTTTAAAAATTAAATGACAAAAAAGATATAAAAAGTTGGGTTAGGACCAAATGGATTCCGAAACATCAGAAGAATTAATTATAATAATACAGGATTACCGAGGAAAATCTGTTCTAAAAAAAGTTATGAGAGACAGTAGTAAGAGTAAAGAGTAACGTGTGGAGGATGGGTTAACCCACAGCATTTAGGACTCACTAGATCCATTGTGCATCCTCCTGGTGGTTTTGACGTTTTGAAACTGTGAATATCCGAGTTTTCTGATACTTTACCTTGTAACGGTTATTTTTGTGCTAAAGGCCTGAATAAGAATGGAGCTATATCAACCCCATTTTTGTCATCTTCAGTAATGTTCTAATCGATGTTTTTTTTAAAATAACGTTTCTCGACATGGTTACATTCCAGGAGAACATGCTCTATGTTGCAGTGTTCACTCACAAGGGAATTCTCGGAGGCCATGAGAAGTCCATGAGTGAGACGAGAATGACTTATTCTAAGTCTTCTTATTATGACTTTGCCTTTTCTGGTCATAGGAGGCATCATAGGTATGGTAATATTGGGTTGAACTTTATGCAGTTTTGCCAGGTACTTTGACAGGTTCGTTTAATGTCTTGGAAGAGGTGGATTTTTTCTAGAGTCGCATCTAGGGAGCAGGCTTGTTTTGCGATTTGATCTGCTTTTCATTTCCTACGATCCCCACATGGAATGAAATCCAAAGGATGGTACCTGTAGTTCTTTTTGGAGAGAGTTGGTGACACGCGTCTTGGATTTCCTGAACTATCGGATTTTTTGTCGGTGCAAATTGCTAAGGATTTGGTGGTTTGTATTGGACTCTTCAATACTTTTAAAATGCCATGTAGTTTAGCTGTGTGTATACTGCAGATATTAGGTAAACTGTATGATGCCATTACTGCGTTTTTTGATGTTATGGCTTTGCCAACACCATGTTCATCTTTGGAGGCATCCGTGAAGAGAGTTTGGATAAGCGACTTGGGTATTTCTCTTTTGTCGTGACATGATAAACTAGTATTGAAGTATTGAAGATTGATGTCTCTTGATAAAGTTTGTAGTAATTGTATGGAGGAGTTTGTGGCTGGTTTTGTATTGATCAATTTAAATAAGATTTTTAGATTAAAATTGTAGGTTAGTCAGTAATGACTAGTAGCAATACTCTAACAAAAACAAAATTGTTGAAACTGCAAAAGTCCTGTTATTTAGGAAATTTTGGATGAAAGCAAAGATATTTCCAGATAGATTAAATTCTTTGAGTTTTTCGACGATGGAAAGCGCTTTGGTTATCTAGCGACACTGCAATGACATCATTATTGTTAACTATAGCGTCGGTAATTTCTGCTTGAACAATAACGAGATTATCCATGGTGCATCTGTTTGGTCTAAAACCTGTACCATTTCTAGAAATTTGTGGCTCTCAAGATCCAAAGTAATCGGTTATTGAGCATTGACAAGGGGGGTAGCCATGTGTGAGTTGAAGTAATTTTAATTTTATCCTACAACATCACATACACTTGGTGATTGGTTCATGGCCCAAATCTTATATAATAAATAATAAATATTTCTTCACTCATAGTTTACATCTTATTACCTATACCCTGTCATAAGTTTATCCAAGAATTTTTCTTTAGTACTTACCACCACCTGTAGAGGCCTTAACTTGACAGGTCTCCTTTCAAAAATGTTAGATTTTTATAAAAAACAGCAATGTTTGCTTAAAACAGGCCTTATCTTTTAATCTGTTTAATGTATGTAATTTGTTTTTGTATCGTCTTGAATATTTTAAAATTTTTAACTGTTTTATCGACTAATATTTGTTTTTCAAATATTTTTAACTTTATAACTTGTAACATTGTTTTGTTTTACAATTTATTTCATCCCCCACGTTTTGATGAAACTGGTTTGTAGTATTCCCTAGTGGATGGAGAGTATGGTGAGTTTTTTCTATTTTTTACTATTTTTTATATTGTGGGCTCAAAGTCAACACACCTTACACCACATATTCTCCTTTCCACTAGGCGAGCCTGAAGATGAAGTGATGTTACTTCGAAACCGGTCGCACTCAATGTTTTGTTGAATAATTAAACATTGGACTTTCCTTGTGAGATATAAAGGACTTTTTCTCCCCCCTTCACCTTAAAATAAGGTTATTGAGCATTTCCTCAAGTAATTTGCATAATGTGCACGCCAAAGCGAAAGGTCTAAATGAACTGTGACTGGTCGAAGGAAGGTCACTTTTTTTATGGGAATAGTAATTGAATGGCGCCATAGTTTTGGAAACTGTTGGGTAATCCAGATTTTTTTATAAAGTTCAATTAGTTTGATTTAGGTAGCAGAAGTGATAATACAATCTATGAATTGACTTACAGCTTCATTAATGTTGTTCTGAAGGTTTATTTGGTCACTTAGTTCTTTGACTGATAAAGTGAGAGTCCCAATTAGCTTAAGAGATTTTCTATTTGGTTTTGACGGTTGTAGTTTTTGGTTGGATGTTGATTACTATCGTACAAGCAGTCCAGAGTATGCCATGTAAGTAGGGCTGCTATTCCAGGATCACAAAGGTTAATATTTATTGAGGAAAAGGTACCTATTTGTACGTAAAAGTTCGTACTGCTGTCTTTCTTTATACTAGAGATATTTAATGTATTTGTCGATAACTTTACATCTTCAAAATATTTGCTAGGAACTCCACAATATGTTGTGAGCATTGAAATCTCCAACTAGTATAAAAGAGACGGGAAGTTGAGATATAAGATCTATTAACTCAGTGCTAGTTAAGTTGTTTGATGTTTGGAAACTCTGGGAAAACCTGTGAAAAATTTGGAAAAACTGCTTACCTCTCTAACCGATCTCCCAATAATGTGCTTCTATCGCTTTTGATTGGATTGTATAAGTCATCTACGTCCAACGTTTTGCGGTATCCTTTTCGAAACAATTCTATCGTATAACTGAAAAAAAATTAATAAATGTTTAGAGAAAGGTATCACATAGTAATAGTAATAAACAATGGCTGTACATTAAAATTTTCCAAATCTGTTTGCATTTTGAAAAATAGCTCTAAATAATGAAATACTCTCTATTATTTGTTAAAAAATTGTTAGTGTTATCCTCGGTTAATTCTATTTCCTTATTTATTATATTGACAGCTTCTTTATATTTAAATCCTTGACTTTGCAAATCTTTAACAATATCTTCTGGTTTAGATGTAGATGTTAGACCTCTAACCATTATTTTAATGTCTCTGTTCTGTTTAATTTAATAGGAATGCCAATTTATTTCTTTGGCATTCAAGGTTGATATGACATTTTTAAAGTCTTCTTCTTGTTTAGTATTAATTTTAAACTGGTTATTGCTTAGAGCTGTAGCTTCAATATGAAGTATAATTTTAGCCCGTTAGATCTTTGATTTAAATAAAAATAAAAGTATGTTTTTAAAATAAATAGAAAAATATTAAGACGAATTGAGAACCTCCTCCTATTTTTGAAGTCAGTTAAAAAAAAGTATAATAAAAGACATTTTAGCTGAATAATCTGACCTACGTCACTGTGTATTCGCTATTTGCATGGTTTACCCATCCGATTAACCATGAAACACCGTAATTTCTATTTAATCAGTTAAATAGATAAAAGACATGTGTATTAAAAAAAAAACTTGTTAGTTGCTCTAATCCGATTAAATCCTTTGGTAAATTGGCCGGAAGGGATTTAATGAATATCAAAAGGTTTACAAATGATTGTTATGGGAAATCCCAATAGTTAAGCCCTTTAATTTGCGCGGTTGCCAAATTTGGGATCGAAAGGGTATTTGTTCGTGAATGGTTTATTTCCAATATAGTAAATAATATGGAAGGGAGGCTTCTTGTTAAAATATTGTTTTTAACATCAAAACTCATTCTCAAATTAACATTATTTTATAGTCCAACCCTGTTATTTTCCCTAGCGTATGATCTAGTATCTACGTATAAATCACAAGGGTCAAAAAACATTTCTCTCTTGCCTTCTTCACGTCCAGAGGCTTAGGCTGATAAGATTAGTACCAAGACGCGTTTATTTTTTCTTTATTTGACAAGGGATAAAAAGGTTAGGTACCCCTTCTGATAAGTCAAGAACCTTATAAATATGAAAAAGTGAGTTAAATTCATCTCGTAACTTGTTTGAAATTCCAGTTCATCCACAACAATTAGTCAGGTGCGGCTTTCAAGTAGGTATGAGTAATTATTTTTCAATTTTGACATTTTAAAAATATAAATGAGCCAATATACAATGCAGTTTTATCGAAGACCAAGGTAGAAAAGCCAAAAATAAATACTAGTGAAACAAAGAGTTTTAAAAAGTTTGTTAAAATAATAATAAACTATTAACATGTTTAAATATGCAATTACAGTTTTTACATTTTACATTTTACGTTTTACATTATAAATTAATTGTAGTAATAAATCACCAAACCTAAATTTTAATGCTAAATTGCTGTAATTGCATATTTATTTGAATATAACTTTACTATATAACATTCTTCTGTGTTGTAAAATAGTTATTACAATATTTTTTCTACGTTCATACAAAAACAAAAAAATGCTTTAGTTAGGCGACACTAAGTGCAGAAGAACAAAATAGCAAAATATTTAATAACTAACATTGAAAAAGTACTATAACTATGTTAAGAAAAATAATTTAACCAAAACTGTGTTATGAACAATAATTCAGCTTGAACGTTGTTTTTGCCACTAATATTAACAGTAAATATACAATTTGTACAATTTTCAATATTAATATTTTTTTTATGTTTATCATGATCATAAAACAATTCAACTGCAATATTTGTAACAAATTTAGTACCTATCCTAATGTTATTTTAATTTAAATCTGACCATTAGGGCAATTTTACCTAATTTCTTGGGAAGAGGCTTATTGGAACTGGTTGTCAATGACTAATTTGCATAATTTTGTTAATCCGAAACCCGCGTAAGTATAGCGAACAGACTGTACTTGGAAATCTAACCAATTCAAGCACAAACAAAGAAAAAAGTTTTGAGAAATCACAGATGATGCTCTCGAGTATATAGCAAACCATCTTGCTAAAAAACATAAATTGTTTTTAATAAAATCTGCATACCTAACTTAAAAATACATAATAGCATAAATTTTGCAGTTTGTTTACTATAGGCAGTATGAAATAAAATATATAAAGGATCCTCTAAAAAAAATTCAAAGGACGCCTATGAAGGGCATTAAACGTTTCATCGCAATGTGTTAAGAACTGACACCTTATCATTAAAAATGCTCGGCTTAGACATTCTTTTTAATTTGTTCTTTGAAAATTATGATAATGAGGGTTAGGATATACTCAGTTTGTCATGTTTAAAAATATATTATCCAAAACTCGTAGATAAATCCATACTCGATTGAAAACGGTCATTTATCATTTTTTTTCATGGGTATAATTATTTTCGGAAACCATACATCAGTAGTTGATAGACGGAATATTGATGGAAATATGGATATTGCCTAGAATGCATTTTAAATCTGCTCAAGAAGTTATAGATACTTTATGTGACATGCACATAAGTATTTTGAAATGATCTATTTAAAATATTGCTATTATTATTTATAAAAATTCTAAAAAGTAATAAATGTTTTAACCTCATATTCAAATAGAAAAGGTACGTGTTGAAATAAACCTAAACAATTAGGTTGTTACTCCAGTCAATGGGTTACATTGAACTAACAAATTATCCAAGGTAATACGTTGATAAATAATTAACCTTTACCATGTAAATTTTGGTTTAAATAGACAGGAGGAGACTTGAGTAAGGGTGGTTTCCAGAAACTCTTGCGTTGGGACTCTAGGTCTTAGGTACCTTAATGTGTAGTTTTATCCAGTGATTTTGTTTACAACATTCCAACATTTTAAAAATGTTCTATAAGAAAAATGCCTGGTTCTTTGCTAATTTTAATTATATACCACAATACTGTTTGTAATCCCGGTAAAAACATTGTAAAAATGGTTAATGGAAATATAAAACAAAAACATTTCTTAAAAGTGACCATTTTATTATCCAACCTCGTACATTGGGTTGTAAATAATGATTTATGATTAGTAATTCTTTACTAATTAAGATTAATTGTTCATAATGAAGTTTATTAATTGTAATTATAGGTCTTCAGTATTGTGTAGTGCCAGTCAATTAGATTGCAACCGAAATATGTATTCTGCCATCATAAGCCAAATCCCCGTAACTGAAAAATTACAAATTTTTAAAACTGTTAGACCATTTTGATGATAAAACTTTTTCTTTTTAAAAAGTAAGCAAAAACCCGGTAATATTTATGCTACTAAAAAGTCAACTTGATTCTACACCGTAACTAATATTTTAGTAGCAAAAACCTTTTAACCCATGAGCCAACACAAAAAGTTAAATCTAAACTTATTTTTAACTAGTTAAAAGCATTATGCTCATTTACATTTTATGATGTATTGTATTCGAGATCCTGTATATAGACTTTTGCCATAAAAGTTGTGCTATCATGCATTGTCAAATAAACTACAGTAGAATCTCAGTGAACGGAAATACACTCCTTTTTTTAATATTCGAATTTACAGTTGACAGATGTTAACCATATATTAGCAAAACACCAAATAATCTGGCACTTCTCAAGTAGGCCAGCCACCCAAAGACATTGAAAAAAAAACACAAGAACAGCAGATCCAACAAATGACAGATCATTTATTATTTCAGCACATATTTGTTTTTTCATCAATAGTACCACATGTCCAAAATCTTTGTGGGATATCATATTACTCAAAATGATAGTAGGATAAAGATGTTATAAAAATTTGCTGACATTTATTAGTTTTACACTGGTAAAAATAATCTGTAAAATTGACAAAATATATTTTTAACGGAATAACTTATATAAAACTACAATATATATATATATATATATTTTCATTTTTTAATGCTTCCTTAAATTGGTTTCACCCTCACGGAAGATATTAAAATTGGAATTTAGTTATCAGAATTAATTGGCAAAATAAACTGAACGTGGCTATTTTCAACGCTTTTCCTATTTATATCGGCTTCCAAAACCTACACGAAGCAGATGTTTAGATAGTTTCAAATGATAGCGTTGACTGCTAAGAATTTTACGCAAATTATAAATTATCTTTGTTCTTTTTGTAAATAATATCTGAAGGCTCAAGTGCGCTGCAATAGAAGCCGTTTTATGATAATAAAAATGCCATACATATTAATCATTTTAGATTAATGCTTATATTTTATTTCTAAAAACGCTTGTACACAAGATAAAGTAAACAATAGAGACTCACAAACAACAACCAACTGTGATATCAAAATACGAAATAGTAGATCAAATATAGATTTGTTATTTTCATTACTCAGCAAAAATCTAGACGGTTAAGATAACTTCGCCAATGGGTTCAAATGTTAACACAGATGGTGAGGTAATCTCAAACGTTCCTCAAATTACACATAACGACTGCCCACGAGAAAAACTCCAGGTGGCTTTAAGTTAGAATTTTGCATTTTTGAGATATGACTTATAGCCCTCAGATATAATTCGGTGGAGACTTTGTACTCTTTTGGATCACCTAATTTACCGATAAAGGCCAGAGTGGAATTTTTTTATTGGTAAAAAAGTAGCCTAAGAGCCGTAAATTATGCCGTTATCATTTTTACATTGCTAAATTTTTTAATGAAAAACGCAATATTTGCCTGTTGTTAAGCCAACAGAGTACCTAGTTTTTACTATAAAAAAAGGAGTGGAAAATTTTTTAGGTTGGTAAAAAATTAGCCTAAAATTAGGACGTAATCAAAATTTGAAAAATCTAAAGATGCTTTGCTAGCATATTTCCAAATAAATATGCAAAGCAGAAAAAAAATAAAACATCAGAAATAATATACACTTCTAGTTTACTAAATATTATACAC